TTTTGCCTCTTCTTGTTTCTTTTCCAAGATGCTTCAGTTCAGAATTTCATCAATCAATTACGTAACAGTGTTAAGAAGAGGATCATTTTACATCAAATGGTTTGAGAAGCAATGAAAGTTTTCAAGAACAGCAGGGAAATGGTCAGCTTGTGTAACGCTCTGCCATGATTGTTATCGCCAGGCTTAGGGTTAGGGATATACGCGCCCATTAAGTGATCAAAGATCTTTCAATTGATTTTATCATTTACAACCTACATTTTATTCTGTTTGTTGATTGAAAATCAGTTAAGTCATTTAACATATAAAACATTACTTGAAAAATGCTTTCCCGGGACCTTCAAACATCTTAATTCTAAGTGAAAAATCTTTATCGTGATTATTTCATAATAAAATGTTGTAAAAGTCATGCAGAACAGAGGGGTTAGAGTTAGCGATGTTTTAACATTGTTTTACGGAGATGTTGTTACAGTATGTGCAAATGAAGATATAAATTCCATAATTTATATATATTTCATCGGCAATTTTGAATTTCACTTACATCTTAGTTTGTTTCATGATCTTGGAGCCAGGAGCTTCAATTCAGAGCTCTTTTCACATTATTGTGTTCAATATGGATTACGCATGGTCTCTTAAAGAAAAAAAATTATATAACATAATGCATTATTTCTTTCAGCTTTATGAATTTAAGCAAACCACGTCAGAGAAGCTTTTAGGAAAGCTAATACTTGTTTAACAGATTCAGTGTTAGAATTTAACTAAAGGATAATAAAGACATTGAATGCAGACAGAATATTTTTATGTCCTGTGTTCATTAAACAATAGTCAGCATTTAAATGAGGCTTTAATAAAATATGTATAATCAATTAGAAGAGAACTTAATTATGGCATTAAAGGTGAAAGGTTATATTAAATACCTTTTCGTGTAAAAAAGGTTACCTTTTTCACATTGCATTTTGGAACACCTTAAATGAAAGAGCCATAGCGCATTCGATAGTCACTTTCGCCTACACTAGTAGTAATTTTTTAATACAGTGTACATTGTTTAACCAAAGTTTTGTCATACAATGTTAGTTTATACATGCCTTAAAGCAACTCACCGAAAAAAATACTCAATTATTAATATTTTCCTCTTGTGAAAGTTAAAAAAATCGTTCAGTTTATATGGAGAATATAGTAAATACTGAGGTACCCAACTAAACAATGACAAACTCTAGGAAAAGACCACCCTTAACCAGAAAAACAACTTCTGAATAATTTTATTTGGATATGACTGAACTTCATTACGTTTAGATAAATTTGGTTAAAGGTGGTCTTCATATTGAAAATGTTGAAAATACGTATTTAATTTTTCTTCTAAATTTTTTTTCAAAATTCAACAATCTGTCTTAATTTAGCGATCCGATTACCAAGACTCCGTGGCATAGTGGTATGATTGGTGGAATGAAGACATAATGATCATGAGTTCGAGTCTCACAATCTCTCTTATTAAATTTTTTTTCTCTGTGTGGATTTTCCTGTGTTTTCTTTTATCATTTTAAAATACATACATGTATAAATAATTTTCAAAAGATATATATAATATACAACACTACACATTGAAAGTATCTTAAGGGAAAAACAGTCTTAAACTATTTTAATGAACCAAAGTCATAGCTGATAGACTGTTTTATTTTTAAAATGTTCAAACAATCTTGTTTAGAATAAGAGTATTGAACAAGTAAAATTACTGTCATGCAGCAAACTTGCAACAATGAAAATATAACACTGGTTCACAAATGATTAGATACATGTGGATAGATTTTGATTTGAAAACGTATATGTATCTATAAATAGTAACAGGTGATTTCCTTTTAAATACTTGTGTAGGCCGAGTCGTCGGTAAGGCAGCTATGGCTCTTTATTTTGCGAGCAAAGTCTGATTGATAAATGTCAATATTAGAGAACAACACATCATTAAAGCAAATTTCTGTCAATTGAAGATGCCCTCTTGGTGTATCCAATCTACCAGAGATTGTATGACCATCTTTTAATCATTCCATCAAGATGTTTTGACCGTCGCCCTTCACAGTAATAGTATCATTTATAATTCTTCAATATTAAAGCGAACATTAATGCACTGTCGGAATTAATATATCAGGCAAAATAAATATGGAATACAAAAATAATTTTATAAATAAATGTTTCTGAAATTTACTTTTAATTCAATTCATGGTTGTTATATTTGATGTGTTTCGAGGCAACCAAATTACAGGGATAACACCAAAAAAATATCATTTCCTGTTAGACTTGGGTATACCCTTGGATTACATATAATATTAGTTTTTTTGAAGAGGGGGCCTAGATTGGCTCTTGTCCTATCTTATTCTTTTGTAGATTCATTGTATTACAAAACATATTGTAGAACTATGTAAGATGTATCTAACTTCAAAATATGTAAGCGCTTTGTAAAAAAAAAAAAACAAAAAAAAAAACAAGGAAGTTACTATGATTTCAGCCAATCAGAGCAAAGCATACGTACATGTGCCCACATTAGTATTGATTTGACCGAGCAGTCTGTTTTATATCAGGAATATATCCTTATATTTTAATTGCAAGGCATTCTTTAGTGAATTGTTTAATAGGCTGTATAATAAGTAGAAATCTCTCTCATTGAAAGGTCACACGACTGTTAGCAAACGACTATGTATTACGTTTTCATTTTAAACTTGCCTCAAACTACTGGTTAAATGATTCCTGTAAACCACTTAGAAGATCAAGTCTCCGTATAGGTCTCACAGTTTTAAACATGAAGTACTGTGACCCATTGCAACCTATTTTTCATCCCAATTTTTCAGCTCTGTAGGAATTAATATATCATTCAAAACTAAAATTTTTACGTTTATTGTATTTCAAAACATATTGTAGAACTCTGTAAGATATATCTACATGTATATTTAAAATATGTGATTTATGTTGAATAAATTAAAAAAAAGAAAAAAAACCAACAGTTTACTAAGATTTCAGCCAATCAGAGCAAAGCATATTTGTATAGGCCTATATGTTCTTATTGATTTGACCGAGCATTCTGTTCTAGATCAGGAATATATCATATTTTAATCTCGAATTCTTTGTTGACTTGTTTAATAGGCTATATAATTTGTATATATATATCTCCCTCATTGATAGATCACACATTTGTACACAAGAACTATGTATTACGGGGTTGATAAAGAATTTAGAAGATCAAGTATCTATATTGGTCTCACAGTTTCAAACATGAAGTATATAAAGGAACTCAATACAACCTAAATGTCATCTTAATTTTTTCAGCTCTACACTATAAACACGAAAGAGAGGAACCAAAGTGCAATTTTTTTTGCTATTGCGGAAGAAGACAAGTTTACATGTACCGCTATTAAGTATAAGAGGTATCAACATATTTAGGTAATAAGAACTTACAGTTTGGATATTAATTCTCCATATCAACAGTAAAATTTCATAATTAAAAAAAATCGATCAAAGTGTACCTTAAGTCATGTTTTGTTGTATTTTTTCAGTAGATATATATCGTATACAAAGATATATCAGGCAAATCCATCTGTAGAAGTTTGATCAACATGGCGGTCGTCTCAAGACGGAAAGAAAAAACAAGAGCTGATCAATGTTATAATGTGACCTTGTCATCAAGTACAATTAATTTTGAAGTCAAATGCAGACTGACTTTTTGCATGCTAATTGTAAGGCCATTATTTACACACTGAGCTGTTGACGAATTTTTCATGGTTTTCTTCCAAAGATGACAAGATGTGACGGGAATACTGACTCCTCAATGGCTCTTTGGTCGTGGCAGTTTACGCTTTAAAAACTGCGAGGAAAAAAAACGTTCCAACCCAGTTAATACCGTATGAAATGGGTAACTATTAAATTCATTGCTTATAATTATCATTTTCATTCATTTGATGTAAGAAAAAGAGACCATTGTTTTGATAAAATGACTATAATTTGTATAAAATTTGAATGTTACGTCAGGCGGATTGATACGTTTTTGACGCAATTCATTGTGACGTAGGCAACCCATTTTATACAATATAAAGTAATTTTTATCCAATCAAACCCAACGTTACAACCAGAATTGAACTATAATAAAATAGAAAATCCATGAGGAAAATCGAGTTTAAACCTTCATAAACAATTACACTATGTTTTTCTATTGGCTTTTTTAATAAAACTAGACAGTTTTAGAAACATAATTTTTTGCAAATTTTCTTATCATTTGTTTAGTGCAAAAAGAAAACCATTTATATATTTTTTTACTTCAAAAATAAATTTTTTATTACATGCTCGATATTTCCTTTAGTTTACATTTGTATGTTTGTAAGTTTTAACAATATTTTGTTTTAACCTGCAGCATCTTGTTGCAATGTAAAAAATAACCACAAACTTGAAAACAAGTGAAAAAATAAAACACGAATTAAAAAGTAAACAAACTAAACAGAAAGCAAACAGCAATTATGATAAAAGAAACAGAGGCAAACTTGAATGATTTACAGAGAGGAAAAAGGAAAACCGTGGCAAAATTTGCAGGGTAATCATGCGTTCAAAAGCCATAAGCTTGAGTATTTCAATATTTGACCTTCTAATGGACTTTAACAGTTGAAGGCCTAATTCAACACTAACGTAACACGAGATGTTTTAACTTTAGCACAGATGACTTTGAGATTTTGTAAAAAAAAAATTCTTGCATTTGTAAGCTGAATGACTCCCATGTTTTTTTTAATTTTGCAATTCTTACATTTTAAAATAATTCTATTTGTCTTTTTGTCGACGATGTGACCTAAAATCACCGAGTCAGCGTAATCAAAAGTTTATTTTAAATAAAATTAAAATTCATTCATTTTCTAAATATTGCTGATCAATCAAAATATCAGAGGCCAAAAATGGATAAGAAGAATGAAGTGAGATGCGATATGTACAAATTATATAAAAAGCAGAAATTTAATTCATCACAACTCATACTGATAAATAAAATATCAACACTTTATTCATTTTCTGGGATTTTTAAGGTGTACAGTGTACATATATTTCCTACTTGCCTCTTTGAACTAGCTGGGAAGTGTGATATAAACGACTCAATAACTTTAAAGTTCTATTTTATCCCATTGTTTAACCCCGTATCCCGTTGATAGTTACTCGGAAATGAGACCTACACAGAAAACTTAACAAAAATGGTACTTTTAAAGAACAAACACTGAATGTTCTAAACATTAGCACACTTACCATTAAAAATCATGTGAAATATTCGAATTAATTGTGAAAAATGTTATCTCGAAGATCTTTAAACTTTGGTGTGCTTAGAAGCTTGTAAACACAGTGCATACTGATCCCACTCTCAACAAGATAATGTTTCGGACAAATAGTCAGTTTTTCCTTCATAGCATTATGTGCAAAGCTAGGATACCCTTCTTGGAGCATTAAATACACTTTTGGGGACCCTTTGTCCACATCAATAATCCCGGGGCTACCAGAAGCCCCATGAGTTGTGGATTGTGAACAGTGGAATAGAACATTTTTCTTAGCGATCATATCATCATAGCATTTTGTAATCCACTCATGGTCCAAATCAGGACAATTTTCCTTCCACCATTTCACTGCTTCATAATGCGTTTTATATGCGTCTTTCACCGAAATCAATGGACATTCCCTGTCTAACATTTGATCGTTTCCATAGGAACCTGGGTGGCCAATAATGTAGATGTTTTCTGGTTGTACATCCGATTTCTCCAACTTAAATGGCTTTGGTAGCTCTGTCCAATTCACTTCCAGCAAAACAACGTCTTCTGCTTCGTTATAAAATGGGATGTCAATTTTCAGTGGATACCTTGGAGATTCAGATTGTTCTTTCGTTCGACCAAAATATACATACATTGGATGGTTGTTGATAAATTCCACAGCTTGGACTGCAATTACAAATGAAAAACATCATCGAAAATAGATCTATGTTCTCTGTTTAACAAACAAAAACAATTACAAACAAGAGGCCCAGGGGCCTTATAGGTCACCTGAGCATTATGCAACAACTTTCCAGTGATTTAATTTGATTCATGTTTTAAGCCAGATGCTATGGCGTTCACAATTTTGAAAGGCACAAATGGTCATCATACCAATACACATACATATAGCAGTTGCTTAGTTTGTTTACTTAATACCCATAGGCAGGGTAAGGAAAAATTGCATTTCAAGTAATCAGTAATATTCAGCAATAATCAGTTATACCCCTATCACACATGAACCCCTGACCCTAAGGCCTAGATCCACACATTACACAATTTTTGAAAAGGCATCCTTGCTTTTCAAAAATATTTGATTAATACCAAGGAGCAGATTTCAAACAATTCATCCAGTTTCTGTATTACACAGGCAACTTTTCCACATATGATTCTCATATGAGTATCATATGATTCTCATATGATTGGTTTCATATGAGAATCATAGAAAAAGGGCATCATATGTGAATCATATGAAGCAAATATCCAAATATGTGAATCATATGAAAACAACTTCATATGATTTTCATATGAATGATTTAAGTGTGTTACAAGTCATCAACATATGAGAATCATATGAAAAGGGCATCATATGTAAATCAAATGAAACACTTATGTGTGTTTCAAGCCATTTATATATGAGAATCATATAAAAAGGGCATCATATGTAAATCATATGAAAAAGTTATATGTATTCTCTTTCAATATTTTTTACATTCTTGTACACATTTAAAAATCAGATATTTCTTTTTTAGATGAAAATTCATCGGTGAAATATTTTAAAATATCTTATAATGTTTTTCTTAAACGAGGTTAATTTTTGACAAGCAAGTTGATGAAACAAGAATATCAACAGTCTCGTTTAAAGTCATCATTTCGTAAATTCTATGGTCGATACAATGACCTTGTCAGCAAATACAATTTATCATTGAATGAAATGCTGACTGAGGTTTTTCATACCAATTGTTAGTCCATTATTTATACACTGAATTGACCACGGATTTTTTCCGTTATTTCCTGATTATGACAACGAGCACACGGCGGGTGTGACCGGTCGGCAGGGGATGCTCACTCCTCCATGGCACCTGATCCCACCTCCGATGTTTCGGAGGTCCGTGTTTGCTCTGCTCTTATTTTGTATATTTGTTTAATGGACGTTGATATTGAATACTGTTTGTTATTTCCATATCCTTCTTACACAACTTTTTTTATAAAATTATTTCCATCAAAAGAAATAACTTATGTTTCACAGTGTACATTCTAAACAAGAAAATAATAAATAAGTCATTAGTATTTGTCGATACATGTATTTAACATATTCTAAAATGAGTATAAATTTTAAGATTTCCGCAAAATGATTAAGTAGTTAAACATGTATAACATAATTAGGTCATGTACTTGTATAAAAATACGATATGACATGAAAGTGTTCACAGCAAAATTGAAACATCAGCAAAAACATTTGTCATGTGTATTCTCTATTCTTAATTTACAAAAAATCAAGTTATTTGATATTCCAGCATACATTTAAGAATGGGAAATCTTTACAGGTCAAATTCAGACAAGATTGTGTACATCCTTTCCATTTCATTATTCTATATATTTCTAGGTTCTTGGTTCCTTTTCATTTTGTATCTTTCAATATTTTCAGTTTTCATCCCTCTGATCTTCCATGACCATTTTGAAAATCTCTTTGAACTGTACCAAAAATGCAAATCCACCAGTTCTCCCCTTCCTGAACAATTTCTTCGTGGCACAGAATGGTCTCTACAAAAGTTTCAAATGTAAAAATAAGATAATTCTTAAATTACAAAATCAATTCTACAAGTTATATTAAAGTTACTAATCATCAGCAAATAAATGTATTCCCAATTCACTGACAAAGATATGAATAAGGAATTTTTTTAAGTTTTGTGTGAGTTATTGGGGTGTGAATGACACAGACTTGTCATGTACGCATATTTCACGAAGCTCACTTCGTCACATTAATGCAAGTTTCTCCATGTATATTTCTACGTGTGAGTATACACAAAAATGGTTTTCAAATCAATTTCAGTTTGCTTTGTAGAAAAACACAGCAAATGTAAATATTACAAGATAAAACTAATGCTATATATGTTATATTAGGTGTTTGGCCAATTGAATTTGAATGATCAAATAGTATATGTTAATTCAAATTGCCAAGAATTAGGAAAATTCTGACAAAGATATATTACTTTTGGACAAAAAAAAAACTACATAGAAAGTAGAGAGGCAGAAAAAAGACTTTTTGATTCCTGGATATCTCAAACTTTGATGGAAAGAATATAACAAAATCTATTAAACAATATTTACATTTGCCGTGTTTTTCTAGTAAGCTTACTGTGAAATTGATTTGAAAAACATTTTCGTGTATACTCACGCGTAGAAATATACACGGAGAAACATGCGTTAACGTGACGTCACAATGAGACTGCAGCGACGTTAGTAAAATGCAATAAAATAGGACAGCAAGAAATTCAAATATTGAGTATACTTTAGTTGCCTCCAAACGGGTAAAATGTAAATATAAGGAATGTTTTTCAGTTTAGTGTGAATTATTGGTGTGTGAATCACACAGAATTGCACATAGGCATATTTTTCATGAAGCGCTAGCGCGCTTCATGAAATATGCCTACGTGACAAGTCTGTGTGATTCACACACCAATAACTCACACAAAACTAAAAAAACATTCCTTAAATGTGTTGTTACCTTAAGTTTGAAGCAAGCCTTGGATCTTTGGATTGTTTCTTATGATGAGAGGCTGACTATGTATTGAACCTGAAAAACAGATATTCACACAGTAGATATTTTCTATGAGCATAATGAAAACTTTAACAACAAAAAAGAGAGAGAACAAGATTACCAAAAACTAGGTTCTCTAGTGTTGGAAAAAATTATAGATGTCAGTCAATGAATACATAGATGTAAATATTCAATGGATACTTTCAACACATATACATGCACGTGTATATGTACCTTGAAAGTTGTCACAAGGCTATTATTAATATTGTTTAACTGAAATTCAAAAATTCAATTTAAACCCCCCACCCCCACCCCTGAAGAAGTTTCATAGCCAGCAAATTCTATTCATACTTTCCATATTTTAAAAGTGCACTGGATTAAAACTGTTTCATAATGTTGAATAGACTTTTATATTATCAAGTTAAATTTATTTTTGACAAAGCCATGCAAACAATGTAGATTATAAAGGAACAAAAAGAAATTATCAAGAATTATTTTGCCATAAAGGAGTCATTACAGATGCACACTTTGATTTTTTAATGCAAGTACTTTTTTTTACATTTAATATTGTGATGATGCAATCGTCTGTCAAAATCATCTGTAGGATCAATCGCCAGTCTTATCAGCTTCGGGCTCTTTGGACTTAATAGAAAAAGCAGCACTGTGACACTGAACTCAAGTTGTTGAATGCATCTATAGGCCATAAAAATAAACATTTGTCATTTAGTTGACGAAAGAATCGACTTGATAACGATCTCAACATACATAAACGCCAACTGTTATACGAATACAATACTATATAATTATGGATTCTTTTGGTGTTGAATATGGTTTGTTATTCACCAGAAAAATATTCATATTGACCGAGGCGAAACCGAGGTCAATATGGATATTTTTCTGGTGAATAACAAACCATATTCAACACCAAAAGAGTCCATAATTGTTTTATTATATGAGTCGTCCCATGCAAAAAGGGCCCTTTAGGTTAAAATTATCAAAATTGACTTTTCAATAGATTATGGTAGCACATAATGTAAAATACCCAAATATCAAGTTTTATTCAAATATTCCAACTAATGACTGAGATACAGGCAATCAAAGTTTCAGAAGATATTGAAAAGACGCTAAAAATGACGTTCTAAATGACGCTTAATCATTGAATCATTTTATATAGGAATCGGTTTCCGGATTGAAAGGCCTTAGCTGTTACCGGAAAACATGAACATAAATGTTACAAAAAACAAGATTTCTTTTGTTTAACATGCAATATTTGAAATAAATGTTTTCTTAAAATTAATTATTAATCATGCATTAGTTCTCAAAACCGATCAAATGATAAATTTTAAATAAATATGATTGTATACTCGTATTAAGCCATACAGGACTCGATATCAGACAAGACGTGGTAGTACATTTAGGAAGTGTCAGCATTTTTGCAAGTTAGAGAAAAATTATCTCTCTGGTAACTCAAAATAAACATTAATTTGAAAAAAAATGATTAAAAAACCCCTAATGAAGAGTATTGTCATTGATGAAACACAGATAATGGTTAATTGCAGCGGTTAAAAATGCTTTTGGTTTTTTCCTAATAACGTTATAAGCTCTAAAAAATGTGACGTCATGTTTGGCATGAATATTTAAACAGGGAAAAAGAAATTTTTAAAAATGAAAAAAAAGATATGTGTTAAATATTTTTGACATACAATACATATTTCACATACTTGTATTTCACTTACATATCTTTTTTTTTTTAAATAATCCATTTCGATATTAAAACAGATAATACTATTATATACGATAGCTGTTCATTGTACAAGTAAATGTTCATAAGGCCATTATAAAAATATATCTAAGATTCTCATCTCCGCCCAGCCAGATTTTTTTTACTCCCGCTTCGACTTTTTACTTCCATTTTTCTTAATGATGATCGGGATCGGTCAACTACCCGACTCAACTCTTGTTTTAAATCCCGCGAATATCGGCATTAATGCATTTTAACAACTGGGTCATTGAAAGATTGGTGATTATGTGAAGTAAGAAATAAGTGGACCTCTGCTATGACTTTTATTAAGATTTTCTACGTAAATATGCAATGATTGCCCGATCCTGGACCCGTTTTTGAATAATAATCCATTTCTATTATTTTTCTAACAAGTTAAACAAAGGGTCTTGATGGAGGGGGGGAGTCCTCGTTTATTCTTTTATGTCTGGGGACAATGACACCACAGATCTCACTTACTAAACATACCAATATTGATTGTCATACACTGGAAAAAAAAATGATACAGATAAAACATGTAATATATGCCAAAAAAAATCCTTTTGGTCACATTTTATGTATGTTTACTTTGATATTGTACAAATTATAAATTCCCTTCAATATTGTCGGCCCCATCCGTCACAATATTTGTACCGAGTATTTGAACCTTCAATTTCAGCCTAAATATACCGCAAAATTCAAACTGCAATTATGAGCGCGTCAAAATCATATTCCTCCCAAATTGTCTGAATTGAAACTATAATTATTAGCAAACCGACTTATAATTTAGCATAGTCGGTAAACAACTACATTTTATTCAAGACTCTTCTTTGGGGTTAAACATAACAAATGAACATTCGTTTATGTCTTGCAGAAACATGCAATCAATCGGAAATTAAAGATGTAATATTTGATAAATTATCATTTTATCCTCGGATCGTCATGATGAGTTCACGATATATTTTGAAGTTTTATAGTCATTGATTCATCAAGAGTCCCCCTTCTTTCCGCATATTTTAGTTTGAATCCTTTTGACACGGGCGTAGTCAGGAGTACGTTTTTACGAACAAATGTTCCACATCAATTTTGAAAAAAAAAAGGAGAGACGTAATTTCCATACACATCATTTCGCTAAAATAAATGAATAAATAAATAATTTTAAAAATAAAAAGATACATGTACTTCGAAACAAAATTCGAATTAAGATAAAAAATAAAAGAAAATTAACATAATCAATACAACTGTCTTTTGTATCATAGCAAATCTTTCATATCCTTGCCTTTATATTGTGACTTTCTGATCTGTACATGCCGTATTTATCTAAAATTAACTAAAATTTACTTAAAAAACATTTAAGTGCACCAACTTAAAATAGCCCTTCCAGACTGCCTTAAAGTCTAACTTGCTATATCTCTGTGTGAGCTAAAATGTGATAAAATTAAATGGATAATCTTGTATCTACATGCATAGGCGTCGGAACGGGGGGGGGGGGGTTAGGGGGGCTTACCCCCCCCCCCCCCCCCCTTTTTGCAAAAAAAAAATTATATAGGCATTGAAAATCGGGATTTACCTTTTTTCTTTGGTTAGTTTAGCCCCCCATTTTTGATTACCCCCCCCTTTCAATTTCCTTCCGTAGCCCATGAAATGTTTGTTGTATCGAGTAAGTCATCCTTGGTGGTATCGCTGGCATTAATGAACATCACTGCTGTCCTTGATCGTTACGGCTACATTTTCGAAATTTTCATGCATTTTGTATATACTACTTGTTAAATCTACCGGAATTTATTTCTAATTAACTCGGTGAGCATTTTTGTGAAAAATAAAAAAAATATTCAAACGATATTGTATTCAATCTCTCAGGATATTATGTTTGCTTAAATTTTTTTATTAATTGTGTAATTAGAAGCAGTCATGTACATCATGTTGTACATGTGGTATTGTACGTCCGGGAGGGGGAAAATTATTTACAAATACAAATTAGCCTGAAGATGTTTTTTAAAGAACAAGTTGCCACAACCCCCTTAAATAGCAGCAACGTCCCCATTAAAAAACTTATATGGCCTTTTTTTTTTAATTTGAAGTATTATTTCTTTTTTTTGGGGGGGGGGGGGGGGGTCTCAAAGATTTTTTTAGTCCCCTACCGGTGAAACCGGGGGGGGGAACTTTAGGTTTCCTCTGCGTCCGTCCGTCCGTCCGTCTGTCCAGCTGTCCGTCTGTCTGTCCCCGTCAGTCTGTCCCACTTGGTTTTCCACACTTTTTTTCTAAACGCTTGCAGATATTGAGCTGAATTTTGGTATGTGAGTGTATCTTAATGAGTTACAGATCAAGTTCGAATTTCGCTTCGCTTCATTGATTTTTGACAGAATTATGGTATTTTGAATTTTTTTCATAATCGCTTAATTGAGATCGGGTTCGAACTTCCGATTGTCGACAAAAATATGAAGCGAGGAAAAGACGATGGATAAATGAGTTGAATAGTCGTCTTAGTGATTATTATTTTATTAGATTTAAGACATTTACAACTTGAAAATCTTTCAGTTTTACCTTGGACATGACTTTTGCATATTATAAAATGACATCCTGAAGAAAAAGGGGAGCCCGGTAGGGGACATGTATTGCTCATGCAATACTCTCAGAATGCTTGTTTCATTTATTTTCCCGACTCTCCCCTTAACATTAAAAAATAACACAACGTATCTGTAATGTCAAATATTTCTATATTTAAATAGAATCGACTCGTGTCATTATGGCTGTGACGGAGGCAAATCGCCATTTATGACCCTTATGCAGATCTCAGTTCGCGCTGTAAAATCTTTACAAAATTGTTATGGGTCAGAATAACCCTAAATGCCAGCAAAGATCAATCACACAGTTTAAACTTAACAATAATTTATTTACAGTTATATACAAATCATTAAGTACAAACTTAGCAAAAATCTAAAAATACATACATCAGAGTGTCCGTTGCTGCACACAATGTCCCAGTGAAATTATATCCCAGTAATACCTCAATGATGCTTATACGACAATTATCTATACGAATTGACAGGGTATTTATACAGTAATATAAATCTAGAATATTCTAGAAATTGTAAATACATGATATTCCTGGAAAGTTCTGGACATGAATAAAGTTCAGGAATGTTCTAGAAAAAATGACCAAACATATTGACCACTCTGGAATGTTCAAGAAACTTAATGTTACTAATAATATACAAGATGAAACATTTATACACATCTCACAACAAAATTCAGATGTTTGCCTTGTTATTCATCTGCTTTACGAAGAATTGATCTGACACTAAACTTTTTCAAATGCCTTGGCCTCGCTAGATCTCAGCAAAATTTTAATCGTGAATGTGAACAAACCTGAACTTTAATTGTGGTAAAAGAATTTCTATTGTAAAATTTTCACTTTAGTTATTATGTTATAGCATTCAAAATGAAGTGTACATGATAAATGCGGAATTACATGCAGGTACAACCTCTATCAATACGTAAACATGGGATATTTAAAAAATCTTATGATCGGAATAAGCAAAATTTTTGCTCATTATTGGAAATGTCCAAGCTCTGAGCTAAAAACAGATATTCCTTTTAAAAATATTTGAATGGCTTTAGATCGTATACACGATAATGAAAAAACAAGTTGCTGTCCTTTAAAAAAGGACTGCAATACGTGGACCATATGCGTGTTTTTTTCTATTAGTGACTGAAATTCAATTAAGAAAATTTCTAGGTGCAGGGAATATTCATGTAAGGTTTATTCACTTGTTCTAAAATTATCTGTTATAACTGATCGTATTCTCAAAGTACAAATGTGACATTTTATCTCCGATTAGCGATCTTTAGTTTTGTCAGTTTTAATATGTTTAAAAAATCGGGTTAATTTGACACGTGTAACACATATTGGCTGGGACTTGACACCTGTTCTGGATTTATACGGAAGAAATTTACCATGGGAAAAATGGAGATATGATGGTTCACGTGTAGCACACCTCTGTACCACGCAGTTTGTTTTGTATTTTGTCAGAGCCCCCCCCCCCCCCCCCAAACACACACACATTAAAAGCCCTTACTACAGACATTTATCAAACAATAATTAGATTGCTGAAATATTAAATTATTTTTGCGAGTCTTGATGCACAAAACTAATGCCGGTGAAAACTTGCTCTACTTTAAAAGCTTTATAAACTACATGTATCTCTGTTCGTTGAGTGACGTTTCTCATTTATGTTGTTAAGTTACATGTATCTATATACTATAACTTCTTAAAATGTTTGTACCATAGAATCAATGTTTAGTATAAAGTATATGTAAAAGAGAGGAAATCAGATCTGCCAATGAATGTGTAAATGCGATGTGCAGATTTAAAAGTGCGATTTGCCAATGAATGGCATATTTTAATTCGAATAGGGCGAATTATTCTACGGGCAAGTTACCTAAGGTGCGAACTCTCTAACATTCGCGCGCATGCGTAGCCTGTCGTTTGCCCAGGGCATCCGGTTTAACTTCGCTTATATATTTACTGCGTGGACTGCAGGGTCCACGCAAAAATTGATAACGTTTATGTTAAAAAATTGAGAAATGTCTCACTTGCAACTTGCATATTATGACGTTGTCTTCACCGTCGTTTTTGTCATTATGACGTCAAAGTACATAAGGGCCCTTTTCGCATGGGACGGCTCATATAGTCGGGATTTGTATAGATAAGACATTGAAGGCTGTATGACGACACCATTTTCATTTGCGATCTTCCATTGTTGAAAATAAAAAAAAATCTCCAGATTACTGTTTGTAACCTCCGTGTTTTCCTTTCCGAGTTTGGCTATGTGTAAGACGTCAAGATGTTAAAAAATAATCCTGAAAAAGGTTTGAATAATCGTTTTCCTGCTCAGATACGTAGCTCGCTGCGGCCGTTGCAACCATTGTTTACAACGTTGTTTGATATTTTGATTGTTACGTCACAATGCCGTTGCACGCGAACTGACCCTCCGGTAAATACGGCCTAAAATCCGGTGAATATGTAGTGTTATGAACTGGTTGCGTTTGTATAGATTATATAGGGACTATAAATAGACTATATAATAATATACATTTATTGACTGAGTTCGAGGGCAACATGCATTTTGTCGGACCCAAGAACCAAACGCATTTTGCCCGAGAACTCTGTCAATTAATGTTTTGTTATACCTTTTATTTTATTTTTTGAAATACATGTATTTTGTACTGTATTTCATGATGTGGCATCAGGTCTGTTACTGTTTAATACCGACCAATGTGACGCTCAGCAAAACATTAAAAATGTTAAGACTTTTTTTTCGTATAGACTTATATGGGAACAAATGTTTAAAGGTATAACAAAAAATATTTATTGGCACAAACACAATAACAATAATTGGCAAAGGCACACAATCAATTGTTCATTATATTTAACAATAATTTGGTAGGGCATATGAGGCTATACATGATCATTACTTAATTAAATTGTACATCAAAGTAATTATGTTATGCAGTCATTTCTAGATGCAATACATTTATTAATAAATGATTTTGTTATTTTCAGTACTTCTGGACAATGACTATTAAAACAAAGTTTAACTTTTTGTGTATTAGACATTTAATATTTTACTATGAAAAAAAAAATCATCAAATTCCTTTCAAAGGTTAACCTATGGTTTTTGTATTCATGGCAAATGAAGAGAAAATGAAATTCATCTTCAACATCCCCTGTTGTTTTACATATATTACATATTCTTTTATCTGTGGGTGTAGAATGTCTTCCTTTTTCTATGGCAAGGATATGAGCACTAAGCCTCAATCTGCTAATAATTGATCTGTCTTTTTTTCTTTTTTAATATACTAGTGTATATCAGTGTATACGCAACGTTTGAAATTATTCAAAGCAAAATTTAAGTTTAGATGAATTATAAATCTTTGCGTATTCCTCTTGTATGCTTCTCAGAAGTGGTATAGCACAAAGTTTCTACTTTCACTTTAAAATCAGTACGTAACAAAAATCAAAAGGAATTGCATTTAGCCTAATATGTAAACTGTAGGTCTTATTTTTACAACAATTCCCAAATAAATTTATTCAAAATAACTTACAGATCACTTACGTTATGTAGATTTACGGAATGCATTAATTCAACAATTTCAAGTTATGAGAGCATTATATATAAGTTCATACGAACCTGTAACCTTAATGAACAGATAGTTAAACAAAATGAATTAAATTATTATTTTAAAAAATCTGTAAATCTTTGAAAAATTGTTGGAAGATTACTTACTTTTTCCCAACACCCAGCACTTCTGCTGCAGCAGTGACGTCAAACATGACGTACACATTCATCCAATAGAAGTCAAAACCGGTCCGGAAAAAATACGGAATTATTTTGATTCAAGTAATAAACCAAACCCAAAAGATTTGAAATAAAAAGCACATTAATGTATTCTTTATAAATTATGTCTGTGAAATGCATTATTACAAAAAAAAATGTGAAATGTTTTACATACAGTATATAAGGGAAGGGGGGGTGAACAGAATAGAGCATAAGTAACACATAAGTAATTTGCTAACAAATTCTCTTGAAATAATGTACCTTTTTAAAAATAACTATTGATATATTCATCATTAAAATTGCAATTTTACGTGAGTATACAAAAGGCAAATTCGTGAATATTGTTTCATATGATTCTCATGATCACCGTTTCATGATTCTCATATGATCACTGTCAAAAGATTGACATTTGATTTTTTCATGAGTATAACAAGTACAAAAAAATAAATATTGTTTCATATGGTTCTCATATGATCTGTTTCATATAATTCTCCTATGATCACTATCAGAATATTCATATGATTCTCATATGATTGTATATACATCTGATTCTCATATGATCCACATATGTTCCTCATATGAAAGGTAATGCATATGTGTATCATATGTGGCTAAATTGCCTATGTAAATACAGTCCCCCCTCTATGGTACCCCTGACCATGGGCCTTGAAATTCGCAATTCTGGAAAATCGGGGCCCTTGCTCATCATAACTATATACATGTAGGTAGTTCATCTGCTTAAACCCAAGAGCAGAGAAGAAAACTTTCAAAGATTTAATGTATTTACACTATATAAACAATAGAACCCCACCCTATCACTAGGGCCATAAAATCCATGTTTTGGAAGAGGTATTCTTGCTCATCATAACTATGCACTTAGTTTGTTTATTTAATAATCAGGAGCAGAGAAGAAGATTTTCACAGTATTCATTTATTTTCACTATATAGTCTATAGAGCCCCCCCCCCCCCCCAACACAAGAACCCCTGACCCTAGGGCCATAAAATTCACAATATTGGTAGAGGCACTCTTGCTCATCATAACTATGCACTTAGTTATTTTTTTAATACCAGGAGCAGAGTAGAAGATTTTCATATTATTCATGTATTTTCAATATGAAATCTATAGAGGCCCGTCCTTACACCAGAACCCCTGACCCTGGGGTCATAAAATTCACAATTTTGGTAGAGGCACTCTTGCTCATCATAACTATGCACTTAGTTATTTTTTTTTAATACCAGGAGCAGAGTAGAAGATTTTCATATTATTCATGTATTTTCAATATGAATTGTATAGAGGCCCGTCCTTACACCAGAACCCCTGACCCTGGGGCCATAAATTTCACAATTTCGGTAGAGGCACTCTTGCTCATTATAATAATGTATTTAGTTAGTTTATTCATTACCCAGGAGCAGAGAAGAAGATTTTCAAAGAAATAATGCATTTTCACTATATAACCTATTTAGCCCCGCCTTAGCACTAGAACCCCTGACCTTGGGCCATGAATTTCATAATATGGTAGAAGACTTAATGTTGATTACAATCTTACCAACAGTTTGACTGCTTGATGTCAAGGAGTAAAGAAGAAGATTTTTAAAGATTGCACTAATTTTAGTGGTTGTTGACCCACCCCCAGGCCCCAGGGGGGCAGGGACCATGAATTTCAAAATTTGTGTCCCCCTTCACCCATAGATGATATATGCCAAATTTGGTTGAAATTGTTTCAGCGAAGAAGCTGAGATGTTCAAATAGGTATTTACGCTGTTTCATTTTAACACAAAATTGAAAATCTGTTTGCTAACCTGTGCGTGCAATGCAGATGATTTGATCTTTCGTTGTATTAAAATATCTTTTTTTTTTAGTAGAAATTTTAACGTAATGCATATTGATTGATTTTAAGGAATATCAAATAATAAAATAATGTTCCTGTTTTGCTGCTTTATTGAGACTAAAATCACATTGTTTAAAGTGTAGGGAGGTTTGTTGAAAAGTCCCGCTTATCTATAAAAACCGACATTCATCAGCAACTTTATCAGCACCGGTAAACGGTGACGTCTCCATATGAGTGAAATGTTCTCAAGAGAGACGTTAAATTAAATACAATCAATCATTAGCCAATATGTAAAAATGTCAACTTGAAGGCAACAAAAAGTTTTTGGACAAATGAATACAAAACTAGGTCTGCTAATAAAGGATCGCGATTGGTACCCATGGGAATTCCAATAGATTGTTGGAAGATCTGGTCTCTAAGTACCACATTAGTATAGTCAATTAGAAATTCAAGCATATCTTTAATGTCAACTTCGTATCACTGCTATGAACAATCAGTATGACAAAAATAGACTTTAATTTTTCGTACTTAGCTTGTATGTTTGTACAATTGTATGATTTCACAAAAAAAAACTTGAAATTTGGATTTATTCAACATAGATTTTACATTTTTCTCGAATATATAGATGTACAGTTTTCCTGAACTTTCTACTTGTCTACTATTAATATTTTAGTGAGGGGTAAAGAGAGAGGCTTTGTAGAACATTTACAAGAACCCGCTTTAAATATCTGTAAGGAATTTAGTAAGGTTTAGGAATCCAATAACAATATAGTAATTTATTCTGTTTGTTTGGAATATTCAAAATATTCAAATCTGTTAAAAATTGAGTTAAGAAACAGTTGTATAAATCACTTCTAATTATATGAGGTTGACCACCTGACTTTACTGCTTTGTGATACTGTTACGCCTTTTTTGTACTGAGTTGAATGCAAAAATCTCATCAATAAATATGGCTCAAAAGGTAAAAGAGAAATGCTAGGCATTATATCCTACTTCTCTAATTCCAGGAATCCTGATTTTATGCCACATATTTGTTCTATTTATAGGTTTTATGAGATCAGTCAGTTTTCATCATCTTCACTTTGAACATGCATAGTAGTCTTCGGATTTTAAAAAAAATGCATCAGTGCTCAGTTTCAAACTAATACTGACAAATACCCTCTACATATTTTGCTGACTCAGTTGATCGAATAAAAGTCACGGTTGCAGCACTGGTACATAAAGGTGGCGGGATCTTATTTATACGGGATATGATTACCGTGCCCTCACTCAATAAGCGTTATTCCTCAAATATTACCAGAAAATTAAATAATTTGCAGTTTAAAATGTATTAGCATACATGTAATAAACAACATCAAAACTGATCAATGTATTGAATAATTTTTAGGTTAATCCCAGACTATAGTTTGTAAAAAATTAGTGATCGCATTAATTTTCTCGAAATGATGTTATGTTGGTAAAATTGACGTATATTATGTGCTGTAAAAGGCAGATCATGACAATATTTAAACTAAAAAATGCATGTTATTATCAAATAGAATATTATTCACAGGTTTTACATAGGCTATTAAAACTAATGTAAAATCTTTATCTACGCAGCACAGTTAAGGTTACAATTGTACAATTGACATTTACCACAATGTCGACACACTGACAAGGGACTCACATTCAGTTACGTGTTTTACTTGCAGTGTCAGCATGCAATTGTTTAACTAAATGTGATGTAATAATTTAATAAGTGCACTGGATGTTGTATGTGAAACAGTAATGATTTGATGACATATAAGAAATCTTACTAATTTTAGTTTTAGAACTCAAAAGCATTATTTTCAAATATTTTATAATCTGCTGCATCTTGATATTGAAATACGTTTTCATTATGTTAAATATTGATAATACTACCTTTTGCATTTGAAAAACCAGTTTTCTCCATGTCACTTAGTAAGCTGTTTATCTTCAACTCATTCCCGGAATTATTAACCCACTGCGAAATCCCCTTCTGAAGTTTTTCTTCAATATCTCCATTGCATATCTCCACATTCAATCTTTCCAGTAAATTGGAATACTTCTCACTGCGCTGAGGATCGGACTGGATTATTTCTATGATTTTTTTGATGTACATTTCTAGATGTGATAAGCATGAATAAAAATTTTAATCTCTCTAAAAGATAGTTAAGATGACTTTTGTCTACAGTAGTAGACAGAACACTTCTTTTTCATAAACATTGATGTAATGTTCAACGACAAACCTAAATTTCCTTTCATCACATGGAAGGCTGTCATTAGGTAACGACTCCCGACCCTGAATGCTGTACCTTTTGTCCCATCACCACATATCAAATGTGCCACGCTTTTGTGCCATTCTTGAGTGAAAATGGTTTCCAATTCATAACTTCGCTGAGTGTTGTCAACTTTCTTTTGAAATTTTGCTGACGAATCTAAATAATAGGTGTGAACAATTATATTATTATTATATAAATACCTTTAATTTTAATCTATTATTTCCGATTGTCAAGTACTTCCATGTAGAGATGAATTACACAGTGTTCATGAATTTCTGGTGATCCTGAAAGAGTTAGTGTTATGTAACACACTTTTCCCGCGAACAACTTTTAGTGCGAACAGAACCCAGACCCCAGACAGACAAAAAGCAGCGGTCCTATTCTCATCTGCTGCTAAGCGATCCCCCCGTTTTAATTGCCGATGATACAAAATAATTTTAATGTTCGTATCCTAGACCTTACTTAGATTACAAATTGTATCAACAATCAATGATATTTTATCACTTTTTTAAATGTTGAAATCATTCTTCTTTTATAATATTAAACCAACTTGTATAAATAGAGTGTACAATATGAAAAAAAAATTCTATTAGTTGCTTTACCTCTCCCGTCAATCCTTTCCAAAGGGACCTGTGATACAGTTGGGGAAGGTTCTGTTTCTTTAAGATTCTAAAAAAATGATATTGATAATCAATTAAATCTTTTAATCTACATTATTTCAATGTGTTACACTGATGTCAGAGTAAGTGGATTTTTTGTTGTTTTTATGTGAAAAAATAAATTCAAACAAGATGTGTTTGTGAAACACTGTGCCCCCGGCGGCAACAAAGTTCGAAAAAGCTATTTTTAGCATAAAGGTTAGAGTCAAGGTCACAAGGTCATTGACTTTGGTGTCGTTTGAATACACTGAATTAGTGAAGTAGGCATACCAAATTTAAAGTCTCTATCTCATATGGTTTAAAAGTTATACCGAAAGTTCAAAAAATCTATTCTTAGCATATTGCTCACACTCAAGGTCAAAAGGTCATTGTCCTTGGTTTCAGTTGAAAGTGCTTATTTAGTGGAGTATGCATTTTGAATATGAAATCTCTATCTCGATCTGTTCAAAAGTTATGGCGAAAGTTAAAGTTATGAAAGCCATAGCCCCAACCACTCAATAGACCACTGTTATGGGCTAGGTTAAAGTTGTGGGACAAACAAACAAATAGGTCAAACTCCAAGGTCGAGGTCAAGAGGTCAAATTAGGTGGTACCCAAAGAAAGGTCATGTCACAAGTAACACACCTATGAATTATGAAAGCCACAGCCCCAACCACTCAATAGTTATGGGCTAGGTTAAAGTTGTGGGACAAACAAACAAACAAACAGACAGACAGGACAAAAACAATATACCCCCGATCTTTCGATGGGGGTTGGGGTTGGGGGGGGGGCATAAAAATGTATTTTTGAAAGATTTGAAACTGTGTAAATGAAATTGCAAATAGTCATGGATCACTCTTATTAATTAAAAGACGTAATATGCAGCATTTAAATGTTATACACGAAATGGCTGATAATATTGTTGCTTTTGTTTGAAAGATTCATAGACATAGGGAGAATAAGAACATTATTCAAGATTAAAAATCCATAAAACAATGCAAAATAAGAGTAGAGCAAACACAGACCTCCGAAACATTAAAATTGGTATCAGATGCCTCGGAGGAGTGAATATCCCCTGATAACTGGTCACGTCGATTGTGAGCTCCTTGTTGTGATAGGGAAATTATCGAAATATTCTTTGTCAATGCAGTGTATAAACAATTGACTAATAATTGGTATGAAAAACGTCAGTCAGCATTTGACTCAATGATAAATCGTATGTTCTGTGTTGTTAGGTGTGTTATATAATTAGTAACAATGGGAAACTTCCCAAATATTCCAAGTGCTCAGTATGTATGGTCCTATTTTCTAGAACATTCTTACAGTTTGTACACTGTATATGTCCAGGATGTTCAATTAATATCATGTGTTAACAACCTCTAGAAAATTCTAGATTTATTATCCATGTATTCTGTCAATTGTAAGCATAAAACATTGTGTTATAAGTAACATTAGTGTACAAAAGAGACTAACGTTCAAAGCTATTGGGATAAGATAATCTCACCGGGACCTTTTGTGCAGGAACGGACAATTACTGTAAATCACTTAATATTCGCAAGAACTTTATTTTCGCGTAATTACGCGAGGCATTGGGCACGCCAAAATTTCATTCTCACGTATAATAATTTTCCTTAAGATTATATAATGAAATATTAACACTTCGTGAAAATTACGTCTCGCTTATAAAGAGTCAATGACTATCTCGTGAAAATAAGGTGTCACAAAAATGTATTGATCTACAGTAACCAAAATTTTAAAAAGTGTACATCCAAAATGTATACAATTTTGATCTGAAAGGGCTTGCAGTAACTTTGAAATATATCTATTGAAAAACTTCAAAGTAGTCGCCAATCAAGAAAATCCAGCATCTGAAGCAAGTTTGAGAGTTTTCATCCCTTGATGCATCCTTTGTACATATTTAATTGATATAGGTGTTGTAGTTTCTTGGTGATAGACCTGCAACTATACATTTTACCTGCAAGGTCCATTATCTGGAAAATGTATGTCGAATTCAGCATCTGAAACTCGTCTATTAGTGTGCTTCTTTAGATGTGTCATCCATGCAAGTTTGCTCAGCATAGGACTCATAGTCACTTTGAGATGAAACGTGCATAGAAACTAACCTTTTCACGCATCCAAAAAATGTAGGTCAGATTCAGCATCCAAAGCAAGCCTAGTATGCATCCTTATATGTATCATACATGCAAGTTTGATCATTAAAGGGCTCATAGTTACAATGAAATGTAATTCGAATCCAGCATCCGAAGCAAGCCTGGTTGTATGCTTTCTTAGATGTATCAATCAAAAAAGTTTGGTCCTTATAGGGCTCAAAACTACTTTTTTCATTGAATCAAATGATGACGTTTGTATTGTTACTCCAGAATTTATATTCTTGACTTGACGACGGATTTTCTGTTATTTCCTGATCATGACAAGTAGCACACAGCAGTCGTGACCGATCAGCAGGGGATGCTCACTTCTCCATGGCACCTGATCCAACCTCTGATATTTCGGAGGTCTGTGTTTTCTGTCTTGTGGACTTCGAGATTGAATACTGTTTGTTGTCTAAATATCCTTCTTGAAAATGGGGCCAGCACCAAAAACACTAACCAGTTCAAACATCCGGAAAATGTAGGTCAGATTCAGCATCTGAAGCAAGCCTGGTAGTGTGCATCCTTAGATGTATCATTCATGCAAATTTGGTCAATATAGGGCTTAGAGTTAATTGGAAATGAAACCTACCCAAACACTTCACCAAAAAATGTTCACCTTCTCCAAAAATATTACCCTGGTCATTCCTTTGCTGAAATAGCAGCATTTGAACCATTGACTGGTAGAATGAAACACACAAGAACCATCTGATGTGTAGAATCAGACATAGAAGTACTGAAAAAAAAACTGCTACAAAAAACTTTAATCACATGTTTTTGAATAGACCATTTTTTAGATGCTGCTTGAAATTACATACACGTAACAAGGATTGATTGATTGATTGATTGTATATTGTTTAACGTCCCTCTTGAGAATTTTTCACTCATATGGAGACGTCACCGATGCCGGTGAAGGGCTTCAAATTTAGACCTATACTCGGCACTCAGGGCCATTGAGCAGTGAGGGTTCTTTATCGTGCCAACGCCTACCGCGACACGGGACCTACGTTTTTAAGGTCATATCCGAAAGACCCGTGACTTTCACTTCTAGTGCCGAGCGCTTGGCGAAGGAACAGTCACTACCTTTGTTTACGTCTTAGGTATGACGCGGCGCCGCGATCGAGAATCGAACCCGGGCCTCCCGATCACGAAGCGAACGCTCTACCACTAGGCTACCGTGACCGGTCACACGTAACAAGGACAAAAGTGATCAAATGACAGTAGCTGTATAAGAATGGATAGATTAGCTTTTTTAATTATTAACTCCTGCAATACCTTAATATACTCTCACTATACGGATTGACATTCCGTGTACGGATTTTTAATTGTTTCCCCACCTGATCACCCCCCCCCCCCGTTCATACAGAGCTGCAATTTTACGACAATTATCCCAAACAAGCCATTATTTCTAACATGTTTAAAAAAAACCCTACTGCGATCATAATGCACTTATGAATACTTTACTACGTTTCTTCTCCTGTTTTCAGTCACGCCTTGATCATGGTAGAAGTGCGTCTGTGAGTGAAGGGGGGAGGGGGGGGGGGGTATTGCGTAGACATTTATTGTAACATCTTGCCAAAATGGCACTAAAGACCGGAGATAAGTAATATTTCTTGATTTAGATTTTCATTTTTAAGTAGATAAGGACAACACAGCTAGAGATATGGAACTATGCTCGGCAGTCAAGGTCATTGAGCAGTAAGGGATTATTTTTATACCAACAACTACTGCAACAAAGGACTTTAATTTAGATGGTCTAAACCAAAGGACAAATGTTCACGTCCCAAGTTGAGATTCGAACCCACCACGTAAGGATGAACTCCTAGCTTACTCAGCAACTCTAAAGCATACAGGCGACTGGAAGTAGAGACATATTTATATTAATTACCTGTTCCCAGAATCTCCTAGTTTCTTGTACATTTATTTGGTGGTTTTCTCCAATTGGACAGCAGGAACACTCGATGTTTTCAAGTCCTAATTGACAAAGGTCCTCTACTAGAGTAAACGAAATATCATTTTGGTCACAAAATATATTTTGGCATTTGTATCCTTTCTGGAAAGTCAAATTTGTGTTTTCAAATGTTTGAGTGAGTTCATGTAGGCCCATGTCTATTAAACGACCTATTTCACAGGAGACTTCAGTTCTTATGTCCATAGCATTGACCACAACTTGCAACTGGATGTCTTTATCACAAATACCGAGTAAAACAGTGTGGTTTTTGTATTTAAAAACTGCTGCTGTTTGAAAAAGACATCTATCGGTTTTGTCCGGTACAACTTTCCATTTGAGAGAACTCATGCAATAAGCTACGAGCCTATAAAACACAAATATGGCAAATGATGTGTATCGAAAACACAGAATTGAGGAACATGCTTTTGCTTTAATGATGTCTTTTGTAAACGGCTTTTTGTTCATACAAGGCACATACCAAGACTGGCCTTTACCTATTTCACCAATACTGACCAACATTCGGAGTCTCTCCATATAACTCATTAGTTCCGTTTTGTACTCTATGTACGATGGCGCATTTGTTGACTCCACTTTTTCATCTTTCCAGAGAGCTTCGACCAACTTACTGTTTAGTTCTCCCGTCTTGTTGAATTTTTCCCATTCTGTAATATGTTGTCTCTTGCAGTCTCTGTTGATATGCTTTTTATCCGCTATAAGCCTAGAGAATGCATCAGAAAACCATTGTAAGCTTAGGATTGCGTGTGTGCCAGTCCCTTCTCCCTTGAAATACAATAGAATCCCATGATCATGAAAGAATGTTAAAAAATTAGGTATTTCTTCTTCGCTTTCTAAGCGATATTGCTCAGGAACTTCTCTATTCATTTCCTGAATTTCCTCGTACGATATGATTGGTTTTCCAGAATCTCGTAAGAGGTGTTCTAGTAAGGCCCAAGATGAGCGAACCGGAATTTTTGTGTCCAGTTTATTGGATACTACTTCAACAAGGGATTTCTTGAGCGACTGCAATTTCTGAGTTCTTTCATCTTCATCTATGTTAATAAGTTCAAATGCAAATTCGTTTTCTTCACTGCGATGATTGGACAGCCATGTTTTGTCGACCTCTGGTAGGGACCGCCATAGATCCGTAAAATAATCATCTATATCCTAAATTAATTAAAATTTATTAATGTGTTTATTATAATTTAAAAGTTATAATATTTAATTAACATTTCCTTCTCCCATTTGTATCTTTATCATCTGTATCAATTTAAATAAAATCATAACAAGAGGCCCAGGGGCCACAGCGCTCACCTGAGCACATCGGCTAAGAAAAAGCACATATCAGATCAGAACTGAAAGTTTAGTAACATTGTGGGGAAGGGGGTTTGAATTTTAACCCCCATGGGATCATGATTTGAACAAACTAGAATCCACACTACCTGAGGATGATTCCATATAAATATCACTAATCATGGCTTTGAAGTACTTGATAAGGAGATTTTAAAAGGTTTCCCTAAATATTCCTATGTAAAACTTTTAACGGCCATTATGGCCCCACCCTAGCCCCGGGGTCATGATTTGAACAAACGTGAATCTACACTACCTGAGGATGATTCCACATGAGTTTCAACTTTCCTGGCCTAGGGGTTCTTGTGAAGAAGATTTTTAAAGATTGTTCTTATATATTCCTATATAAAACATTGATCGGCCATTATGGCCCTACCCTAGCCCAAGGGGTCATGATTTGAACAAACTTGAATGTACACAACCCGACGATGATTCCACACGAGTTTCATCTTTCCTGTGCCTATAGATCGTGAGAAGAATTTTTTCTATATATTCCTATGTAAAACTTTGATCAGCCATTTTGGCCTCACCCTACCCCAGTGATCATCATTTGCACAAATTGGAATCTACACTATCTGAGGATGATTCCACATGAGTTTCATCTTTCCTGTGCCTATAGATCGTGAGAAGAATTTTTTTCTATATATTCCTATGTAAAACTTTGATCGGCTATTTTGGCCTCTCCCTACCCCCAGGGGTCATGATTTGAACAAACTTGAATTTACACTACCTGAGGATGCTTCCCTATAAGTTCCATCTTTCCAGGCACAGTCGTTCTTGAGAAGAAGATTTTTAAATCATACCATCAAATTTTCACTATTTCTTACTTATCTCCCCTTGTATAAGGGCGTGGGCCTTCATTTGAACAAACTTGAATCCCCTTCACCTAAGGATACTTTTTGTCAAGCTTGGTTGAAATTGGCCCTTGAGAAGAAGTCGAAAATGTGAAAATTTAACGACAACGACGACGACAGACAACGGACAAATTTTGATCAGAAAAGCTCACTTGAGCCTTCTGCTCAGGTGAGCTAAAAAGTCCTAAACCCTTTCTAAGTCTGGAAAAAAATGATATGAAGAAAAATTTACATAAGACAACATTATTTATGATTTGAAAATGAATATATTTAAAACTCTAAAAGAAGAAGAAATAATACCTAAAATAGAAATGAAAGTTTTGAGATCATTTCGAAGAAATTTAGTACACTTGCATTATACTGATAAAGGCCGAGCTATGTTTATTAAAGACATGAGCCTAATTATTAAACAAAAAGAATGAATGTTTTCTTCAAAATTTTGCATATATGATATCTTTACCATAAATCATAACGGTTACTTCATAAATATTATCATACGTGATTCCTTAATTATCCATCAGAATTTTACATCTGATCTTAATTTCGTTGTCTTCTTTTATAAACTAAAATGAAAATTGTTTGGAGACATCAGAAATTATCACTGTTACTAATGATGATAAATATGCATAAATACACTCGTACATCTTCTGTTCTGCCATCTGTGTGCGTAGCAACAATAAGGACAGGTGCTTCAGGGCCGCCAAAGGATTTAATAGAATTCAGCCAGAATTCTACATACTCTATCAAAAATGCAATGAAAAAAATTAAACATTACTTACCGGTATATTTTTTCGTAAAATGTTTTTTCTTTATATATTTAATTAGTAAAATAGATATAAATTAAACATTAATTTCTGAGATCTAGACTTAAGAGATCAAACATTTCCCGGATTATATTTCGCCCACCGTTAAAAACGTATATGAAATAAAACAATATTTAAGGAAGACAGTTACAATGTATTTTAACTAGAACTGTCCAATAGGGATAAATACCCCCGCTGGGTTTTTCAGAGTAGGTGCCAATTCAGAAATATTTTATGGATTAAGTAAGTGGTATTCACTATTGTCTAATAAAGTGCCTTGCCACAGCATGATAAGCCCATCAGATATTGTTGATAATCATAAATCGGTTAGGGTGCAAGAAAATTAAGTAACCCTTAAGGGGAGACAGGACACATATCACATGATTAAAAAGACATATTACGTCATAATCGGTGATGATATACATGTTAAACGTTGTTAAAATCAACTGTTCCTGTGTACATGTAATTTTTCTATAAATTCTAAAATTGTTTTTCAAACATTTAATTTTAGCAATTATTATTAATAAAAGTTTTATAGATCTTGCCATTATTTAGATGTTGTGAAGTTGCCCTATCCACACCTTTGTTTCTCTTTACCGTGCAGTCTGACGTCACTGACGTCATAGACGTAGTTTTTGAATTCTCAGTGCAGCGAGATCAAGTACACATATCTGTCATGATCAGTTTTATTTCATAATAAATAGGTCACAGTCAATGTATTGTGATAAATTTCTGAAGCAGATTTTTTTAAATTAATATTTTTCGTGTTAAGTAGCAGAGATTCTCTCTATTTCGATAATTTTGAATGTTTATTTTTTCGTGTGACGTCACAATTGATTTCCCGCACTCGAAAAATACGAAAGTGAAGCGTTTTTATCATGCTTAAGTCTAATTCAACGATGTCCTGTGCGATATTGAGGTAAGCTTCACCCTGTGATTTTTATGCAGTAAATAATTACGACAAAAGACTGGCATTCAATCGTAAATTTAGAAATATTTATTGACAGATTTTTTTCCAAATGACGTTTTTGTCGTTGGAGCTGCCTTGAAAAATGCAGAAATTATCCCACCCAAATGCTGCATAAAATTAAAACAATTGCTTTCAGATAATTTAAACACTATGAATATTCTGAAATATTTGATTATATAGTGATATCTGTCATATTTATCGTTTGTGCGCAAAAACTCGCATTATGGACTCCGTTATGGGCCTGTAAACTTGCAGTATCTAAACTCCATACAAACTCTAAACAGGGTGGTATTTGTGGGGCGATATCTTTTAAATAAGTCAAGAAATCCCATGACAGGACCGTTTTAAAATGTTAAGTACATATTAAATTAGTAATATAAAAAATACGAAAAATATTCACTGACAGGAATTTTTTCAGCGAAAGGTCCTGTTCCTCCTTAATTAACAGATTGACACAGATTTCAATGATCTAATTTCCATTTCTTATCATGTTTAAAATATTGTACATACATCTCTAAGAGACTTACAGTGTAGGGATTAATTAAAACAAATAATACATCATATAATTCTAAACTGGCTGTGTTAGAGCTTAACAAATATCCATCTGCAGCTTTAAATTGTTTATTGCAATATATTATGAAATAATGGAAATGCTACAGTCTAATAAAAAAAATTCAAAAATTATTCTTTAGACTATAAATTTCTAGTGAGACATGACTGCAAATTGTTGCAAATATATGAAAATTGAAATGTAATTTTTTTTCGATGAACACATATATATAATTAATTTTAATAATATCATACAATACTAATTCAGTTTTAATCATACACTAAAACATCAATTTGTTTTAATTACATTACATCAATTGAAAGATCTTTATCTGAACTACAGCCATCAAGAACTCTTAATTAACAAAAGCAACTATAAGGCCTTAATCACTTAAATAAAAGGTCAAAGTGACCTTGAAATAGGTCGTGACACACCGTCTACCCAAGATGGATTAATTGTCAAAGTTTGATGATTGTAAGTCTAATAGTTTTCTAGTTATGACCCAATCAAAATCACAAAATAAAAAAAAAAAACGCCTGTAAAATGCAGAAACATCATCTAATCATGATAAAAAAAAAAAACCAGGTGCACACCTTCATATGGTGAATAATAAGTGTATAAATTTTCAGACAAATCCATCCAACACTTTCAGAGAAACGGTCCGGACAAAATCTTGTCTACAGACAGACGGACATGGTGATTCCAATATACCCCCCTAAACTTCGTTTGCGGGGGTATAAAAATGTCACTTTGCTTGAAAAATAAAGTTTACAAAAAGAACATGCTCTTGCGTATCGAATAAACTGGGAGACATAACCCCAACATGCTTTTGATAAAGATATATAGTTTTATGAATAAGAAAACTTTACGTTGGAAAATTGAAGTCATCACGTTTATTAGAAAAGAGTATATAAAAAAAATTTCAAGTTAAATATGATATATAGAGTCGAAGTGTAAATGGAAAAAAGTACGATTTTAACAAGAGGCCCATGGGCCACATCGCTCACCTGAGAACCAAGGGTAGGACTAGTAAAAAATGGCTTTTTATTGAAAAGTTTAAATCCAAAAGTATTCCCATGACCAATCATAAATTTGCTATTTTTTAGAAAATGATTGAGAAGAAGATTTCTAAAGAATTTTCCTATATATTTCTATGTAAAACTTTGGTCGGCCATTTTGGCCCCGCCCTACCCCCGGGGGTCATGATTTGAACAAACTTGAATCTACACTACCTGAGCATGCTTCCATATAAATATGATGAATTATGGCTTTGTCATTCTTGAGAAGAAGATTTCTAAAGAATTTTCCTATATATTTCTATGTAAAACTTTGGTCGGCCATTTTGGCTCCGCCCTACCCCCGGGGGTCATGATTTGAACAAACTTGAATCTACACTACGTGAGCATGCTTCCATATAAATATGATGAATTATGGCTTTGTCATTCTTGAGAAGAAGATTTCTAAAAAATTTTCCTATATATTTCTATGTAAAACTTTGGTCGGCCATTTTGGCCCCGCCCTACCCCCGGGGGTCTTGATTTGAACATACTTGAATCTACACTACTTGAGCATGCTTCCATATTAATATGATGAATTATGGTTTTGTCATTCTTGAGAAGAGGATTTTTTAAGAATTTTCCTATATATTTCTATGTAAAACTTTGGTCGGCCATTTTGGCCCCGCCCTTCCCCCGGGGGTCATGATTTGAACAAACTTGAATCTACACTACCTGAGCATGCTTCCATATAAATATGATGAATTATGGCTTTGTCATTCTTGAGAAGAAGATTTCTAAAGAATTTTCCTATATATTTCTATGTAAAACTTTGGTCGGCCATTTTGGCCCCGCCCTTCCCCCGGGGGTCATGATTTGAAAAAACTTGAATCTACACTACCTGAGCATGCTTTAATATAAATAAGGTGAATTATGGCTTTGTCATTCTTGAGAAGAAGATTTCTAAAGAATTTTCCTATATATTTCTATGTAAAACTTTGATCGGCCATTTTGGCCCCGCCCTACCCCCGGGGGTCATGATTTGAACAAACTTGAATCTACACTACCTGAGTATGCTTCCATATAAATATGATGAATTATGGCTTTGTCATTCTTGAGAAGAAGATTTCTAAAGAATTTTCCTATATATTTCTATGTAAAACTTTGGTCGGCCATTTTGGCTCCGCCCTACCCCCGGGGGTCATGATTTGAACAAACTTGAATCTACACTACCTGAGCATGCTTCCATATAAATATGATGAATTATTGCTTTGTCATTCTAGAGAAGAAGATTTCTAAAGAATTTTCCTATATATTTCTATGTAAAACTTTGGTGGGCCATTTTGGCCCCGCCCTACCCCCGGGGGTCATGATTTGAACAAACTTGAATCTACACTACCTGAGGATGTTTCCCCATAAGTTTCATCTTTCCTGGCACAGTGGTTCTTGAGAAGAAGATTTTTTGAATATACCACTAAATTTTCATTAATTCCTAATTATCTCCCCTTGAATAAGGGCGTGGCCCTTCATTTGAACAAACTTGAATCCCCTTCACCCAAGGATACTTTGTGGCAAGTTTGGTTGAAATTGGCCCAATGGTTCTTGAGAAGAAGTCGAAAATGTGAAAAGTTTACAGACAGACAGACAGACAGACAGACGGACAGACGGACAGACGGACGACGGACAAAATGTGATCAGAAAAGCTCACTTGAGCCTTCGGCTCAGGTGAGCTAAAAATGTGTTGCTTGTTCCTCAGGAATTGATGTCAATTTTTTCAAATATACTCAGACTCAAAAGAAAGGTTACATCATATAATTTTAAGGTGAAAAATCTATATGGGATACAACTATGTACAAAATAGGATATCCTTCACTTTGATTAATTCGTTTATTGTGAATTGTTTGACGTCCCTCTCCAGAATTTTCACTCAAATTGACACGTCACCGTATGTCGGTGAAGGGCTTTTGATCTTTACTTGGCACTCAGGACCATTGAGCAGTGAATGAGTTTTATCATGCCAAAGCCTGCCTCGGTTTTTTAAAAGTCTCATCTGAAGGACCCTCTTTAACTTTGACAAATCAGTTATGTAGTGTACATTATGTATATTTAAATATGCAGTTCTCCTTTTCATGGTTTATGCATGCTTTCAGTTTCAGGAAGTATGTATAAGCATCACATCCGAAAAAATAAAGAGAGATTTTACCGCGGATATTAGTACATGAATTACGATTAACAGGAACAAATCTTAAAAGTCCAATGATTTCATTAAATATGCTCTTATTTTTTTTTATTTTGTTAAGAGGGATAACAGAAAACTTCTGGTAATGGGGTGAACATTCAACAGTTAAATAAGTGATTTAGCAAAGTAAAAAAAAAGATATCTTCACTATTTGGGGGTACAAAGTTATATCCTGTTTATAATCTTCACAAGGTGTTGTGTTTCTTATGATTGGGTGTATATTTCAAAATTTTTTTTAAAGTTATTTATTTTAACAGGTGAGTGATCAGACAAATGAAAGATCCAGTTTCAAAATGTTTATGCAGTTGAAAAGAATTCACCAAGGTGTACATGTACCAGAATTTCAAGGTGATAAATATCTTGAATTAATTTCCTTCAAAATGAGCTAAACACTTAGTTGATGGATGGAAAGACGAATGAATGGAGATCGACGATCGGAAAAAGGACATAACATGCCAATCAAATTATCTTAAACAATTAAGAGAGCAAGAAAATAATGTCAAGATTTCTATAATTTATCCATCCCTTGAAATATTTGTTTGTCCATCCCTTGTGGTGTAGAGATTAATTATAACAAATATTACATCATTGATAGATTTTTTATTCTTTTTTTATAATACTGGTTGTGTTATACCTTGTCAAATTTCTATCAAATTAATCAATATCAGATTAGTCTTCACAGCTTAATTTAAAAAAAAAAGACTGGCAATCAAATGATATATGCTATAAAATGACAAACAGTTCTGTGTAGTTCCCAGAGGATAAAGATAAGACTGCTTGGTTAGAGATGCTCTAAAGAAATGAATGAGAGAGCTAGTCTTTCTACAATTAACCTTTGACTCCGAAGAGATAAATTGAACTTTCCATGCTAAAAAGTTTTTAAAACATAAAATATCCAATGATTTTATTTTCTTTGCGTCAGAGCGACCTACTTTTTGTGTAAGACATATCTTCAGCCCAAGATGTATCAGCTGACAAAGTTTGATACCTCTGCGGTATGTCCAGTACACGATGTTTTTTTCGATATTGTCGACATCGTAAGAATACTAGTCCTTCAAATATCATACCATATTCAACATAACAGTAATACCTTTGCTTATATCTGTATATATTAATTACATCGTTTACCAATTTAATGTAAACATCTTGTTAACATCGCCTTCTTTTTATTTTTGTTTACATCGTTCACATCGTCCACAACGCAATGTTGGATGATATCGAGTCTACATCGTGTCAGCATTGCCCTACTTATTTTTCTTGTTTAAATCGTTAACATTGTCGACATTGCAATGTTGGTCGATATCGAGTCGACATCGTGTCAACATTGCCTTGTTTTTATTTTTGTTTAGATCGTTCACATCGTCGACATTGCAATGTTGGACGATATTGAGTCGACATCGTGTCAACATTGCCCACTTATTTTTCTTGTTTTACATCGTTAACATCGTCGACATTGCAATGTTGGTCAATATCGAGTCGACATCGTGTCAACATTGCCTTGTTTTTATCTTTGTTTACATCGTTCACATCGTCGACATCGCAATGTTGGACGATATTGAGTCGACATCGTGTCAACATTGCCCTACTTATTTTTCTTGTTAACATCGTTGCTATCATGACGGCGTAAATGTGACGTCAGAAATAAACTAAATATAGCGACGACATATTGTACGGGAAAATATTTTAATTAATTTGTTTTGAGTCAGTTACGTTATTTATTTAGGGAAAATGTATACTTTTATTATGGATTTAGATGCCTTATTGAAACCAGTTAGAAAGAACCGAGTAGCATGTGGACGCATAATATTCTTACATTTTGTGCGATACTAAACCTAATTATTAGAGTTCTGTGTGAGACTAACCCTAATTATTATAGAGTTTTGTGCGAGACTAATCCTTATAAGTAAAGTTGTGTCTAGATTAACCCTAATTTTTACAGAGTTATGTGCGACACTAACCCTAATTATTATAGAGTTGTGTGCGAGACTAACCCTAATTAGTAGAGTTGTGTGCGAGACTAAACCTAATTAGTAGAGTTGTGCGCGAGACTAACCCTAATTTGTAGAGTTGTGTATTTGTATAGAGTGGGGTGTGAGACTTACCCTGGTTAGAATAGAGTGGGGTGCGAGACTAACCCTGTTTTGTATAGAGTGGGGTGCGAGAATAACCTTATTTTGTATAGAGTAGGGTGCGATTTTGTCGTGTTGAGGTTAAGTCTAAAGTGTAAAACGTATTAACATCGTTTACATTGCGATGTCGACGTCGACGATGTCGTCATTTAGAAATGATAACAATGTAGACAATGTAAATGCGATATCGTATCAACATTGTCAACATTGCGATGTCGACGATGTCGTCATGTAGAAATATTAACAATGTAGACGATGTAAACGCAATATTGTATCAACATTGTTTACATTGCGATGTCGACGATGTCGTCATGTAGAAATATCAACAATGTTGACAATGTTAACACGATATCGTATCAACATTGTCAACATTGCAATGTCGACAATATCGAATTGATTAAGTGAACTGGAAGACTAACCCTGTTTTGTATAGAGTGGGGTGCGAGAATAACCTTATTTTGTATAGAGTAGGGTGCGATTTTGTCGTGTTGAGGTTAAGTCTAAAGTGTAAAACGTATCAACATCGTTTACATTGCGATGTCGACGTCGACGATGTCGTCATTTAGAAATGATAACAATGTAGACAATGTAAATGCGATATCGTATCAACATTGTCAACATTGCGATGTCGACGATGTCGTCATGTAGAAATATTAACAATGTAGACGATGTAAACGCGATATTGTATCAACATTGTTTACATTGCGATGTCGACGATGTCGTCATGTAGAAATATCAACAATGTTGACAATGCTAACACAATATCTTATCAACATTGTCAACATTGCAATGTCGACAATATCGAATTGATTAAGTGAACTGGACATGAAGTATACCTCCAGGTCTAAAAGTATTAATTTTATGAGTCGGACACGGGAAAAGCTAACAGACAAATGAAGAGAGACAGACGGACAAGAAATCTCTAACATAATGAGTCCCGTCAAAAGAGGTGTATAAAAATGTAAAAACAGAAAAAACAAAAATAGACATGGGCCTTATGGGTCACCTGAGCATCATGCAAAAACATTTCATTGATTTTTTTTTAAGTCATGTTTTAAGCCAGGTGCTATGGGATTCAACATTTTGAAAGAGGTATCATTGATAATCATAACTATACCCATAGGCAGAGTTGGGGAACAAAAATGCATTTCAACTTATCAATAATAATCCACAAAAATCAGTAGTGCCCCTGCCTTATATGGACCCCTGACCTTTATGCTTCGATCCACACATTGCACAATTTTTGAAAAGGCACCCTTGCCTTTGGAAAAAAAATATTTCATTATACCAAGGAGCAGATTTCAATCAATTCATTCATTTTCAGTACATAAGTACAGCCCCCTCTTTGGTACCCCTGAACCTGGGGCCTTGAAATTTACAATTCTGGGAATTGGGCCCTGGCTCCTCATAACTATATAGGTACAGTACCGACCAGACCCAACCTGACACAAAGTAGTCCCAAAGCAGTCCTGGGGACTGCTTTCTGGTGACTGCAGCAGTCCCAGAGCAGTCCCACAGCGGTCCCAGAGCAGTCCCACAGCGGTTCCAGCAGTCTCAGTGGGCGGGGTTTATTAATTTAAGGGGCGGGGCTTACTCAGAAATGAGATTGCCAATAAACAATGGAACTATAAAAGGCAGCTGAATTTTTTTCTGAGCAGTATGCCAGGAATTTTTACAATGCGAAGGTCATTTATATGATCAGTACCCGTATAGATTTGAAGCAATTTGAAGTAATATTTATTGAAGGAAGAATTAAAGCTTACACACCTACATAAATGAATTACACTGAACATGAATATTTAATCACAATTATCTTGGGTTTTATGTAATTGATACTGGATCCCATTTTTATTTTCTATACAGAAAATTAAAATTGAATTAAATATATTTCACCAGAATTAGTTTTAAATAGATCTTATCAATATAGATGAGGCCGATATCCATACTATCGGGATACTCTTAAAGCATTTTTTAAGTATTAGGGCTTTTGAAAAATATGTTGCTAATTTTGCGAAGTAATATTTTTTAAGTATTGATTATTATTTACTTACGTACATGTTAATTTAAAAATTATTGCTTTATTTGTAAATTGTATAAGTGACCAGTAGAGAATCAGAAGATTATGTTCAACTTTAATTAATCTTGATAGAGATTTATACTCATTTCATTTATCTTTTTTTTTGCATTACATTTTTTTACATAGATTGAAATTAGGGCCATTGTTAATTGAGCAGCATGTTCAATGATGTGTAACACTGATACGTGTACCCAAATAACATGCATGATTGGTTTGCTTCCCAAAGGTGATTTAAATCGCGCAAGTGTTTATACCATTTTATTTATACACATTATCGGCCAGGTAAACAAAAGCAAAACAAAAAAGAAATAAATCACAATTCCCGGTATTTTCAACTGATTATTTCTTTATTTTTTTTATTTACCCTTTTAATAACTTATTTATAAATTAAAAACTAATTCGTCTGTAAATTCCCGTATAATTGTTCACATTGCTTATGTTAAGGAAGAATGGTGGCATAATTTTATTTCATGTCATAAAATAAATTGTTAGATTTTTTTAGGGTTACATGTAATACTCTTTTAGCATGATGCTTGTAAAACGTGTAGCCTTTTCAATTAAAATATCTTATCTACTTGTATATAAATAGTGCCAAATGAAAATGTTGAGTATTTAATTTTTGATTTAATAATAAAATAAATCTACATGTAGATATTTTTTTTCATGAGCATGTGGTTTTATATATTTTTGAAATAAAAATCGCCTCCTGACTTAATTATTTAACAACTTTATTTTTAAAAATATTCTATATTACATATGTGTAAATATGCAGTTCCTAAAAGGACACAGGACATAAAACATATTTTGTCTGCATTCAATGTCCTTAGCATTCTTAAGTCAAATTCTCACACTGAATCTGTTAAACAAGCATCAGATAACAAGGCACAGCTGGATGTAGTAATCTATAAATACCAACCGATGCAGTTCTCCGAGCAATGCCGACAATTAATGAGATAAGAGTCACGTGGGCGATTTTTACGTCAGAGGTGAGCTTCCTGCAAATTCTCGCTTTATCTTAAACAAAACAATGGAAGAAGACTCGTTAGATGGATTTTCCCTTGCTCCTGAAGAAATTAGACCCTATAATTTTGAGCCTTTATTAAATCAAACTCAAGGCAGTGATAGAAGTGAATCTGAAGATTCAGAGGGAGGTGATTTGGAGGAGGAAAATGCAGATGGGGTAATTGGAACCCGCAGAGAGAATTTAGCATGGTATGAAAATAAAACAAATATTTTACTAGTTTTAGTTTATATTTAAGAAATGAAACTTTTGTTCACCCATTCATTATCAGCATTATCAATATATATATTTCATATATGAACAGTAAATATATAATTTGATTTACATTACAAGGTGTGTCTGTGAAAGGTGCCAAGTAATGGAAACAAATGAAGAATGTTTATGCTGCCATGAAATTGCACCCATTTTGGTAAAAGTAGAAGCAAAGGAGTTAAAGTGTATCACAGAACATGATGGGTTTCAGGGAAATTGCCTCAATATTGACGTCCTGGAAGTCTCCATGTATGAGTTTGTAGACACTGATGGGCCCCTTGATGACAATGAGCCAATACATGAGTAAGATAATGTATACACATAACTTTTCTTATAAAAGTTTTTGATTTTTTCTTTGAAACATGTCAAGTAAATTATGATATAGTATTTTCTTCATGGTTAATTTTATATTACAGATTATATAGATACTTGGCCTACAGAAGATTCACTCGTTGGATCTGGCATATCCTAGGGAAAAAGAGACGAAAAATTATCCCTGCTTGTGTGGTATCCAAAATCAGACAGACATTTCCATCTGAGTCTTATGCTGGTTTCAAATATCCACGTTTATGAAATAATGATATGATGTCCACCCATCAATCTTTTTTGAAACACAACACATTTCCATTTTGAAACACAACACATTTTAAACTTTCACATTCCAACAAAATTTATCTGTTGTATCTAGATGTTCTTCTGTTAATCAGTTCATTTTTGTCAAAGTCTTCATACTCATGAGTCAGTGGGCGTGGTTCATCAGCTTTATGACCAAACACAAAATCATCATAGGCAAATTTTAAGGAAGGATAGTGTCGTCTTCTAACAAAAATCTTTTCCAGCAATTTTCCGACATATTCTGTGGAATCAAGAGAATATAAGAATGAAAATCTTATAAGGAAAGCAAATACATGTAAGACTAAGTGATTTTTTTTTATTATTTCATTATAGATTCAATAGATATATATATGTAAAATTATGCTATAGCATCTGTTAGTCACTTCTTTTAACTTAATTACCAAAGGTTGCAGGCACTCTGCGAGGTTTTACTACACATTCCTGTCCTTTCTTTGCCTTTGGGTAGGATACACTCCACTGTAGTTCGCCCTCTCTTGTTATTGACTGACGTCTCGTTCCGTTTTCATTGTAATGAAATGCAGCAATACACAACCTGTTGAAAATGAATAATAAAAAAAATTCTAAAGACTTTTTTTTTACTTTAATCTATAGAATTATGAATGTATTAAAAAAGAAAGGCTACAAACCTTGCAAGCATTGGCATGTAAAAGAAGTGCGTACTCTTTGGTGCGAAATGATTCACCACAGAGTGAAAAACTTCAAGTCCATATGTCTGGTAAACAGGTGACAGTTTTGGAAGATCTCTAAGGAGATAGGGACTCTCCACAACATCTTTTACCATCTTGTGGCATCTAGAGCCTAGAATGGAAAAAAAAAATGCGTACATTTTTGGAATTTGTAACAGTTATAAAATAAAAGGAAATAGATTTAATAATTGGATAATGACCTTGCTGCATCCAGTCTCTAGGTTCATTTAGCTGGCCATGTTCACACCGTGGAAAGACCTCAGAATCATGTTCATGGACATTGATAAGATGGTTGCTAATAGATTTCCATTTGTCAACCTTCATTTGCCCATTGTTTCCACTTGACGCTGCAACCCAGTATGTGTGGTTGCATGACTATACTTTTTATCCAAGGACGGATTTGACCAGCCCCACGCTTTTTTGCTGATGTCTCAAGTTTTCTTGATATTCCTGAAATATTTGCCATTAGGCAACTTACTATAGGCTACAGTTATTCAAAAAATCATCATTGAAAAAAAAAAAAAAAATTACCCTTTGCTACGTGCCAAACATCGAAATAGTGATTGATCTCTGGTTTTTCAGTCTTCATGTATGACTTGATCATAACATGGCGATCTGTCACGAGATCATGCACTGGGACACGATTTAATTCTGTTAGTTGTCTCAGTCCACGTTTAAGGCCTTCAAGCTCCATATGGGTAGATCCTCTCACCTCGTTACTCTGCAAATTGACAAAGGCAATTAGATTATCTAAAAGAAAATATTCATTAAAAATGACATTTCAATTTCTATATCATATTTACCTGGACCAACTGTACATCAATGATTTTATTAGTTTCAAGGTCCATCAGTGAGTAACTGCAGTATTTTGCACTGTAACCAGGTGAATCGCATCTCCCATCACCTCCAAGAACGACATGAGATTTTTCTGGTGAAAAAGTAACTATAGTGTTACAAAAATAGTTGTAGACATATGTGAAATAAAATCAAGAGATATATATGTTACACATAAATTTATGTATTTATTACTTACGGCGCAATTCATCAAAATAGTCTGCTTGTTGTGAATCGAATTCTTCTATGACTGCTGGGATACTGTAACAGGACTGAAGACGGGAAATAGTGCGGGAACTTGGTGCTAGAACTTTTAAATGGTTTAAAAGCATTACAACTTTTGATATGCTGTTCCCACTTAAAAGCATTGCACTTGCAAGATGTAAATTAAACCATGGCATTTTCTTATGTGTTGATTGTGACTGCCATCTGTTGATATGACCATTTTCACATGTTGACACTGTAGATATCATAGAGCCTTTGCTGTATTCTACAAGTGGGACACTTTTTCCATTACAAACATTACAGACAGACAAAAGTTGAGAAAGTGCACTTTCTGACACAACATAATATTTCTCTTCCGATGGATTATCAGTTTCATCTAATCTGTAGTTACATGTCTCCTCTTCATCTGATTCCTCATCCAATTGTGAATCTTCAAAATCGCTTGCATTGAAATCAGAGTCAATATCTCTGTTATCATAATCTTCATCTGAACTTAATTCCTCATGTTCATTATTTGCCAAATACGCATCCGTGTTGACACTGTCTTCTTGACTATTCAATATATTCTCTGTAGACTGTCCACACTTAATACAGTACTGCAAATCACTGCACTGAATTTCAGCATCAACTGTCTTGAAACCTATTTTTGATTTACCTATTTGGATTCTTCTTGTCTTTGTTTTGACTTTAGGGTCGGGGATAAATGCCTGGATGGCCTTCTCAGCCAATACTGTCTCACCTTTCACAGAAGATGAAGGGGTTTCTTGTTCAGTTTCAGAAACTTCATCTACTTTTTCATTTCCATCTTCATTACTATCTTCACTGTCATCACTCTCTATCATAGCCTCTTTTAATACCTGTTTTAATGTACAATTTTATTTAGAAATTAAAAAAATTTTTTTTTTTATTTTTCAATGTAAGATATACATAAAATGTTATGTAAACTTAAACTATGACATAAACATTTGTAAATTGAGGTCATGTCCCCTTTTTTCCTTGCTCTGCTCACTAATTTATAACAATTATTAACAACTATTTAGATGATCAATATTAAGAAACAACAAAATTCTATTGATGTCAAATGAATTTACATCATAGCAATTTAACCATTTTTAAAAAAATGTAATGGTAATGACACAAATATACCGGTAATTAATAAAGAACGACATATAAGTGTTTAATCATATGTTAAAGAATAATTAGTTTTTTTTTTACCTCAAGTCTTTGTCGCTTTCTAAATGCACCAAACCCTGGTGATTTTTTCTCAGTGCTTGATGAAGTTGAACATTCGTCTTGGGTAGGCCACTCAACATCGGGTACATCATCATCCTTTAATTGCGCACGGGCATTAGGATAACCTAATTCAGCTAACCGGGGTGGATAACGGGAATATTGAATTGCGGTAAAGTGTTTCTCACATATTTTACTGTACTTTGTTAACTTAAGGTCTCTTCTACGGCAGTAATGTACCCATGTTTTTTGAAGACCTGCATCTTTTGGGAAGCAAAAAAAATGACACATTTTTGTCCACTTTTGAGGAGCTTGAACAATTATAAACAGCACAATACGGCATCCTTACAAACTATGAATAACTCTAAACGCAAAGAAATGTAATTGTGCAAGTTCTTTATTTATGACTTAGAAATATAAACCATTACTGGCAATTAAGGAAACTATTTGTCTTCGATCAATGATAAGAAAGATTTATAGTATCTCTGGCTGAAACATTTAATAGCATATCTGTGCTGTAACTCATCTCTGACGTCATTTCCGACTCTTTCCGATCTCTGGGCTTGAAATATGCATATTGAGGTCAAGCCGCTTATCAGCACTGTGTTACAGCGCTAGCTGTGAAACAGATGCTTGTTTAACAGGTTCAGTGTTAGAATTTGACTAAAGGATGATAAAGACATTGAATGCAGACAAAATATTTTTTATGTCCTGTGTCCTTAAAACTATAATTTATCTATAATAAATGTTATCTCAAGTTATTAAAAGATTGTAAGAAATCCTTGCTTATTAAACATTTTAAACTCCTCTCTGCTGCAACAAAACAACATGGAGCCTGCAAATTTAGAATACACAAGGGGGCGGAGCTATCTGTCACTCAGAACCAATGTCACACATGAGTGAACAAAGCAGTCCCAGAAAGCAATCCCAGGGGCAGCTGGGACTGCTGGGACTGCTTTTCATAGCAGTCCCGCAGCAGTCCCAGAGCAGTCCCACAGCAGTCCCAGAGCAGTCTCACAGCAGTCCCAGAGCGGTCCCAAAGCAGTCCCGGGGACTGCTTTCTGGGACTGCTTTGGTGTAAGGTTGGGCCTGGTCGGTACTGTAGTTCATCTGCTTAATACACAGGAAGAGAAGAAGATTTTCAAAGATTTAATGTATTTTCAATATATAACCATTAGAGATCCGCCCTAACACCAGAGCCTTTGACCCTGGGGGCATTAAATTCACAATTTTGGTAGAGGCACTCTTGCTAATCATAACTATGCACTTAGTTTATTTGATACCCAGGAGCAGAGAAGAAGGTTTTCAAAGAATTCAAGCATTTTCACTATTTAATGTTTAAAACCCCCCCCAAACCCCAGAACCCTGAGGCCATAATTTTGGTAGAAGCACCCTTGCTGATCATAAGCATGCACTAAGTTAGTTTATTTAATACCCAGGAGCATAAAAGAAGATTTTCAATAAAAATAATGCATTTTCTCTATATACTTATTTACATGTAACTCAGCCCTAGCACTGGAACCCTTGATCCCAGGGCCATGAATTTCAAAAATTTGGTATAGTACTAAATGCTGATTACAATCATGCAAACAGTTTGACTGCTTGATGTCCAGGAGTAAAGAAGATTTTTAAAGATTGATGAAATTTTAGGGGATTTAATTTGACCCCACCACTTAGGTCCCAGGGGGCAGGGATCATGAAATTAACAATTTGTGTCTCCCTTCACCGATAGATGCTTTGTGCCAAATTATTTGAAATTGATTCAGTGGTTTCAGAGAAGAACCTGGAAATAATTAAATGTGTACGCACAACGCATGATGACGAACACGAAAACAGAGAGTGATGAGTTACCTGATTTTTTTAGGTGACCTTAAAATAGAGATTCTTGAGAAGTGCTCCATTTTCTGTAAAGTTGATGCAAACTGAACATCGCACGAATTTTAATTCCTTAACTTTTGACTAATTATCTCTTTAAGCATTTGACTGAGAAGACTACCTTTGTATTTCCAAGTAGAAAAAACAGAACCCTTCTGGTCTTCTTCTTCTTCACCAAAGACAACTTCTTCAAAGCTCTTTGACATGTCCATTACCAGTATGTAAAAAGCCGATGATCTCATGTAAATTTGGTGACATGCATAATATGCAAACTGTCCAGCGAAATCAATCATGCTGACACTAATCTCGTTCTCCTGTGCATCTAATATCTTCTTGATTATTTCCGGGGAGAGTGTTTCAGCAACTGTGTCTTTGGCTTTTGTGTCTAATGCTGTAGTACTGTGATCCTCTACCTTGACATCAGAGGTGAGGTTAATGCTGCTTTCTTCCGGCCCTATGTTTTCAGTATTTTCCTCACATATATCGTTTGTGTCATGCAGTTTACAATTATTGCCTGTGTTGTCCTTTTCTTTTTGATCAGAAAGATCGCCTGTGTTGTCTTCTTCTATTCTATCAGCATCTTCATTATAATTGCCATTTTTCTTTGCAAGCAAAGATCTTGGAACTCTTACCAAGAATTTTCGTTCAAGATTCTCTGTAGCTACAAAGAAATATAAGGATTATATAACGATATGGAGATAACGAACATAATTCAGTCTCAAAGTCAAAAAAGAGCCGAGCAAACACGGACCCTAAACATTCAGAGGTGGGATCTAGTTCCATGGAGCGATGAGCATCCCCTGCCAACGGGTCTCATACGCCGTGTGCTCGTTGTCATGATCAGGAAATAACGAGAAAAAAATCTGTTGTCCATTCAGTGCATAATTAATGGACTAACAATAGCTATGAAAAAACGTCAGTCAGCATTTGACTCTAATCAATGATAAATTGTATTTGCTGACAAGGTCATTGTATCGACCATAGCAAGTACGAAATGATGACTTTAAACAAGACTGCTGAGATTCTTGATTCATCAAGTTGTCAATAATTTACGTTATTCAAGAAATCGTTCCTACGTAGAGCATGCTCTTGAGTATCAATCAACTGAGATATATATACTCCGTATGCAGGTGATGAAGTTATATTTCTATGTAAAACTTTGATTCCCTATTTAGGCCGCGCCCTACCCCGGGGTCATGATTTGAACAATTTAGAATCTACACTATCCAAGCAAGCTTCCACGTAAATTTCAGCTTTCCTGGTCTACTGGTTCTTGGGAATAATTTAAAGACTCCACTCTACTTTTGTCTTTTCTTGATTATCTCCTCTTGTGAAGGGACTTGGCCCTTTATTTTAACATCTTCAAACTTCAATTCAAACCAAGAATGCTTTTAATCAAGTTTGGTTAAAATTGGCCCAGTGAGTAGAAGTCAAACATGTGAAAAGCTAACAAAAAGACAGACTTACAGCTGGTTGGACAGACAGCGGAAAAAATGTAATCAAATAAGAGGCCCAATTTGGCTACATCGCTCACCTGAGTTACTTGGGTGATGCAGTTCTTTACCATATTTCCCCTCTTGCTATACCTATACAATCTAATATCTACACTATCCGAAGATGCTTCCACATAAGTTTCAGTTTCCAGGCCCAGTGGTTCTTGAGAAGAAGATTTTTAAAGATTTGTACTATGTATTTCTATGTAAATTTTGGATTCCCTAATGTGCCCTCCCCTACCCCCAGGGGGTCATGATTTTAACAATTTAATATATACAGTACCCCAGGATGCTTCCACATAAGTTTCAGCTTTCCTGGCCCAGTGGTTCTTAAGAAAAAGATTTTAAGTGACACACCCTATTTTTGTCTTTTCTTGATTATATCCCCTTGTTAGGGGACTTAACCCTTCATTTTAACAATTTAATTCCCCCTTCACCCAAGGATGTTTTATACCAAGTTTGGTTGAAGTCGAAAATGTGAAAAGTTTACAGACGGACAGACTGACGGACGGTCAGACAGCTAGACAGACGGACGGACGACGGACAAAATGTGATAAGAAAAGCTCACTTGAGCCTTTGGCTCAGGTGAGCAAAAAAGATCACTTGAGCCCTCGGAGGTTTTAATGGGGGGCCCAGTCCCCATCCCCCTGTGTCTTAAAAATACACAAAATGTGATAAATCAATGGGTTTTTTCATGTGGCTGAAGACCCCTATCCTGAAGGCAAACTGGTCGCCCTCCCTTTTCAAGTTTTCTGGATCTGCCACTGTCAGAGAACATGGTAGTTAGATTTCCATCAACATCTTTTTCAAGTGAAATATCCAAATATGAAACATATGTGTCTGAATCTGTGTTATCTTTTATGTAAAGCTCACCAGAATATATCATTGACAGACTATGGCTCAGGTGATGTTATAAACCCCAGAAAATTGTATTTACACCGAAAATGCAGCCTTAGGAACTATTCCATGAATATCTGAACTACCATCCAGTTAAACTTAAATTAGTAAGAAGATTTTAGAATTTAACTGAAATAGTGAGTAAAGTATTTTTTACCCAGTAAAGACCCATCGGTCACTGTAAATATATATTCGTAAACTTGAAGTCCTCTTGTTGATTTTATTTCTTTTATTTCTTCGAGACTTTTGGCCATAAGACTGTAGAGGAGTGTTGTTTTCCCAGCACCAGCACATCCAACCACAATCCCTCTCGCATGTCGTACTGTTGTAACTTCTGTTCGCATGTGATGTAGAAGATCTTCTTTAGGGTTGTCAAGATCTGCTGCAATCGATATTCATACTTTTACTTAAGGAAAATATATGTACAATTTTCGATTAAATTATTATCTTCTTAAAAATCAATAAAAACAACCAGAAGTCTCTGTCGTGACTGTAGCTCTACTAGTTTGTATCAGGTACTTAAAACAAAGAAAGGAAAAGTGGTAGTTTGGACTTGTAAATTCATAACAGTAATAAACAGAATAATAATCTTGTATCTCACTGTACACTACTTGCATGCCACATTATACATGTACTATGATCAGACTATGTTTAGTTTTGAATTGCATATTTGAAGTATATTTCACAGACATGGTTATCTATTCCTAGTAATAAAAGAAACATCGTTTATCGAAATCAAAAATCGATATACATAATTATATATATAATTATGTATCTTAGTATAATCTACTTGTGTGCAAAGTTATATTATTATCCTTCTTAATGATACATTCAATCTGTTTGGTTTAGAGTAGGTCACTTGCAGGGAGACAACTCGTACTGTGAGCTCAACATGGTTAAATAAGGACCCTTGACCTGGCCCACTCGGTGACCTTGGAGGTAATTGTACAGTATTGATTTCCTTTTTTTTTCATTTGATAATAATAAAGTATAAGGATCATACTGGATCATATATTTTATTTTTCATTTACCTTTTACCTTTTACGGTTTTGTTGATATGGAATCAATAGTGTACACCACTACTGGTCTAGAATTCAGCAATTCAAATAATAAATATTTTTCTATTACTGCATCCAAAAAATAGGTACACGTCTCTGGGTTTTCTAAAATCACTGTTCAATGATTAGATAATGTATATTTAAAACTATTGCAGGTACAGATAACTTAGCAAAGTATGGCCCCCTGATTCCTGACATTTCGCAATTCATAATGTAAAGTGAAATTGGTCAAAGTGACTGCAAACATGTTTTCAGAAAAATACCATGCACCCAATCAGAACCTAAATCTGGGTACTTACACATGCAAAGTTAATCCAAAGATTTTTAAGATGGTATACAGATAAATGTGATGATAAAATGTAGTTTGCTAAAATACAAGTTAATGTTAATCAAATATAGCACAATATCACAGTTACTTGTGCTGATAATAATTTCAACATAGTCAGATGTAAGGATTGGCATTAAGATACATACTTGGACTTGAAGTTCTTTCTTCTTTGTTGGCAAGCTTTTTCAGTTCTTCCTGCTTAAAGGAAAAAAAAATAAAATATTTATAACCTTTAATAAATTCAGCAGATGAGCATATTTAAGATTTTTTAATAAATCCTGACTTATATGTAACTGTAGCATTCCATATGAAAATATTATAAAAATCTTTTTTATGGAGGTTATTGAAATAATAAGAGTAGTCAGGCAAAACTAAATATCATTGAGATGGTGGCCATCTCAAGGGCCCTGCTTTCAGCAATGAACATGAGAATGTAAGGTCGCTGAAAAGGGGCTTATTTTGAAGGTGTTTGAGTTTAAAGAAAAAGTAACTTTTCTCTAAAAATGATAAAAGAAACTTTTAGAAATGTATCCTCTTTAAAATAGTTGCATATCCTCTATCAAAATATGGAAGGACAATCAGAATTGTTCCGTACCACAAGTCAATTAGTAAAGTTGGAGGCTGACTAGACTAACGAGGGTTTTTTTTACCTGTTTACCTTTACCTAAAAATTTCGTCTACAGACACTGCCCATCCTATGACCAATTTCACTCTGAGAGAAAAGTATGAGTCACATTGAGCCGAGGTATGCTCTAGACATGATATCCCGGACGGACGGACAGACAGATGGACAGGTAGGGGAATTGATGGACAGACTGATCACTATATGGCACCTGCCGAGCGGGCCCTGATGAATTGTTAACAATAGGCCCATTGGCCACAACGCTTACCTGAGTCACTTTGGCCATGCTGTTCTTCACCAGATCCTACCCCTTGTAATACCTATTGTTTGACAACCCTACCCCAGGGTCATGATTTGAGCAATTAAGAAGCTATACTATTCCAGGTGCTTTCAAATAATTTTAAGCTTTCTTGGTCCAAATTGTTCTTTAGAAGAAGATTTTTCCTAAAATGTTTCAATGCAAAACTTGAATTCCTTGTTGTGGTCCCGCCCTGATTTTCACTGGTCTTAGATTAAAAACAATTTGTAAAATAAAGTTCCTACAGAAAGAGGTATGAAAATATCCGAAGTCTTGCAATTTTACTTTTAGAAAATTTGGAAATGGACCTTTAGGGTCCAAAAGAAATTTGAAATCTTACAAATATGTAAAAAGGGCATAAAAACAGACAAATGGAAATTCACAGAAGTGTGATCAGTTGCCTAGGAGTAAGCACCCCTTGTTGACCGGTCGAGTCACACCACAGGGGTAATAAGGAAGCATACAAAATATTTTACCTTGACTAGATCAGTCATTTATTATGAGGTCATAGTAGGCAAGATGACGTCAATTTTAGAACACAAGTCTTCGTAATATAATTATTAGAGATATCATTTAACTCTAGAAAATGAATAGAAACGTGTAAAAAATAAAGACAAATAAATTGGTTTTATTTTGATTTGCTGTGTCAGTCATGTTGATTGAAAATCTAGCACCGATGACGTCATACGTGTATATCAAGTAACAAAATGCCCATTTAAACGCAACTTCAAACCATCAGTGAGTTGAATGTCTCGTTTTAAAATTGATTGCAACAAGATCTTGAGTAACGAATAACTAAATATTATAATAGCACATCTGTACTTCATGTTTGCTTTCAGACCTCAGTATTGCTGTCTTCAGTTCTGAATTGATTACTTTCACCATTTCATGCTGACTTACCATTTTAGTCATTTCTATCACATCATCTTCAGTTTCAGTTTCCTCTCTGATCGTCAGTTTATGAATAAGATTAAGCTGATCTGACTCGAGTGTCTTCAACATTTCTTGATGTTCCATGGAAAGCTTTCCTATAATAAAATCTTCTTCTTCCCTTTTAATGGTTAGTATTTTGATATCATTAAGGTTATCCAGGTACTTCTTTCCAGTGAAGGTTTCCAATCTTTGGCAGATATCTGACATCGTCGACCAGGTGTGGTTGAATTCTGCTTCATGTGTGGAAGCTGAGCTCACATGTGCAGTCAAACCATTCTGGATTGACCTAATTCTCTCGATATCATCACCCACGGTCACTTCTCCTGCTGCAGGCTCTTCTCCCCATTTTCCTTTGGTTGGTTTGGGGATCGTTGAACAAATGTTTCTGATCAATGTGTATGTTAATGAGATGTCAAAATTCTTATATCCCGAATGCTTAGCATCTAGCAAGAGATGTTCTTGTTCTGAGTGCAATCTTTTAAAAACAGATGATGCTTTGACTTTGTTCTCAATGTCGGAAGGTGGCACCTCCATCTCCAGTATATCTCTGTATGCCTGATTTAACACATCGTTTGTTGCCATTCCGAGTTTGGCAAATCTATATCGGTCCCCTAGAAGTTTTCTTTCAGAGGCCATTGGAGTGCTGGAATCAGTCGCTATTCTCTATACAAAAAAAACAAAAACATTTTTGTACCTTTTTGCTTACATTTTTGATTTTTTTTTTCTCGAAGTATACTCTTTTGGTACTTTTTAATACCTTTTTAGCATACATTTTTTTAGCTTTTCTAAAAGTATACTTTTTTGTACTTTTGTATGTTAGTTTTAAAAAGTACTTTTTAGTACTTCTTATGGTACAATTTATGTACTTTGATCAAATATAGAAATGTACAAAAAGTACACGATTTTATTTGATTGTTAGATTGCACATCATTTAATTTTGTAGTATTTTATTAATAAGCAACGATAAACGTCACATTTGTCTTTGTTTCATGTGTATTAAGTAAAATTAACTAAAACAATAGCACACCTCATGCTTCATTTCAAGCCTCTCTACTTCTGCTTTTACATCTTTCATATCTAAACACAATTTTTTCACCATTTTATGCAGACTTTCCAGTTTGATCTTTTCTATAATGGCATTTTCATCTTCCATTCTCAAGGTCATTTTTTGGATTTTATTGAGGTCATCCAAATACTTCTTTCCCGTATAAGTTTCCAATCTTTGGCAGATATCTGAGATAATGGACCAGGTTTTCTGGAATTCTGACTTTGTTGTGGAGGCTGAGCTCACATGTGCAGTCAAACCATTCTGGATAGATCTAATTCTCTCGACATCATCACCCACGGTCACTTCTCCTGCTGCAGGCTCTTCTCCCCATTTTCCTTTTGTCGGTTTGGGAATCTTTTTACAAATGTTTCTGATCAATGTGTATGTTAACGAGATACCGAAATTTATATATCCAGCATTTTTAGCATCCTGCAAGGTATGCTCTTGTTCTGGGCGCAATCTTTTATAAACAGGTGATGCTTTGACTTTGTTCTCAATGTTGGAAGGTGGCACCTCCATCTCCAGTATATCTCTGTATGCCTGATTTAACACATCGTTTGTTGCCATTCCGAGTTTGGCAAATCTATATCGGTCCCCTAGAAGTTTTCTTTCAGAGGCCATTGGAGTGCTGGAATCAGTCGCTATTCTCTATACAAAAAAAAAACAAAAACATTTTTGAACCTTTTTGCTTACATTTTTGATTTTAAAAAGACAAAAATATGTAGGGAATCTTCAAACTTATTTTTTGTAAATTATCGGGGGCCAAATGTGGACGTTTAAACGATTCATTCTTTCTGATAAGTGACTTATAAGTGATTTATTCTTTTACTTATAAGTTGTTTATTCTGGACTTACACTTCATCGATACAGTTAACTTATAAGTGACTAATATGTTACTCATTAGGATTTTATATGCAAATGAGCTGCAAGACCTAAAAGTGACTTATAAGCCAGTATTAGCCACTTATGCTTTATGCAAGTATAGTCACTCATAAATGACTATAAGTGTCTTATAAGTCAAGCGTTAACCCTTCATACTTTATCAAGTATTAGTCACTTGTAAGTGACTATAAGTGACTTATAAGTGAAGTACAACACTACTTGTAAGATCTTAATTTAGAACAGAACTTCCAATTATGCAGGGGTTGCATGATATGTTCAAAGCTATTTTTTACATATACACATGTATCTGCACTTTAGATGAAATAATCAAGTAAAAATTTTATGGAAAAAAATCACTTTCATATGACATTTATTTGATGATGCAAACTTAAAATATTAATTCAGTTTACAAACTAAAATGTTGAACAAAAAGGCAACAAGATTTAATGACTTTGAGCTTCTTCAAATTTATGAAATCTGAAAGCAACTGAGTCAATTGATTCAAAATTTCAGGCAAAGGAAGTTAAAATAGAGAGATGATGTAAATAGAACCTACTTGTTGTACCTGATATGAATTAAGGCATACTCAAAATAAATCTAAAATCTCCAACATCCTTTCACAGACACAAACTTGGTTTCAAATTCTTGTTGCTGATCTCTGCAGAGACAAACTTTCTGATTGGCTACCTTGAATACCCATAATGCTCCTTGAGAGAAGTTTAGTAAAGGGTAAAAATTCTAAGTCCACACTTATACTTCGCTCATACCATACTGATCTTCACTTATAAGTGAGGTGTAAGTGAAATATTCACTGATATGTAGCTCATCTTTACTTATAAGTAAAGTATTAACCCTTTGTGTGCTGACTTGTTTTACGTGCGCCGTAACCTCAGGACTGAGTTGTTTTGTAATATCAACAAAATTATCACAATGGTGTACTAAAATTCAAATATCTAAAATTGTTGACAACCAATTTGCTTGAAATTTGGCAAATTTGTAGCAAATGTTGTGTTTTTTAATCTATAATATTTTTTTTTTTTAAATCTAATATTTTATGTTGCCATGGAAACCAAATTTTCAAAAAATATATTTTAAAATGATTTTTTTTTGCATTTTAACCATATTTTTTCAGAGAAAGTATTGCACTTTGATGAAAAAAAAATAATTCAATTGCTTTAAAAATTTAATTTTAGTTGAATATTATGTAATAAAAAAATTATTTAAACAATAACTCAATGATTAAGTCAATGTTATATACCGGTATACCATTATGTTGTGAAAAGTTATTGTATACTTATCTGAGTAAGGGATATATTCATGTAGGTTTAAGTGAATTCTGATTTAAGTTAATGGATTTTTTTTCAGATTTCAACTAAAAAGAGTATAAATTGAAGATTCAATTAGGCTTTAAATATATAACCAGTGATTATTTTATGAAATATTGGCAATAAGAAAGTATGATCCTCAAAGAATATGCAGTTTTGGAGGTTGGGAAATCTTGGAGCAAGTTCGCACAATAATGAACTAATTGCTGTTACTAGTATTCATTTTCAAATTAAAGCAGTCAATATGTTATTCTCATTTTTATAAATGAGAATAAAATAATATTTACACTGTTATAGAGGTCTTATTTTCTAATGACTGGTATCTAACAGCCCTAAATATACTCTAGTAATTCTCAAATCTTTTTTTTATATTTTGCTTTTATGAAGAAAATGCATTTCTCCGTGTTTTTTTGTAAAGTCAACATATTCATCAACTTTCTTCCCACAGTACTTCTCACTCTTTAAGTAAAGTGGCATTTATTTTAGAAGTCTTATTCCTAGCTGGCAACAAAAATTGCCAACAGGAAAACTAGTATTTTAAATTTTAGAAATTTAAGCACCTTTAACAGTCATTTATAATGGTTTTCCAAAATTACTTCGTTCAATGTAGTCACTGGTGAATAACAGTTTTGATTTTTTTCAACTGATTTTAGTTAATGATTGTTGACAGATATGTACCATAATATCAATCAATATATTATGAAATACTTTTAAGTTTATGCAAGTGTAATGGTATGGGCCATGGATATAGACCAAGTAAGCTCAGTCAGTAGAGCATCTGACCAGTGATGCAGGGGCCCCTTCTTAGATTCATGGTCCAGCCATGCATTTTCTCCTTCCTTGTTACAGATTTGATGCTATTGACCCCTCTGGAAATGTAAGTAAAAGTCCTGTCAGGGGCTAATAAGAATTTGGGCTGTGTCTGCAAGGATAAAGATAACTTTTGGGAAGGATATGTAATAGTTGTGCAATGGGTATCAACCTGGGTAGCTCATTTAGTAGAGCACCAGACTAGTGAAGTAGGATTCCTGAGTTCAATTCCTGGTCCAACCATAGTTACCATACATTTTCTCCTTTCCTGTTACACAAGTTTTGAAAGTGCCAGAATTTTTACTTCAACATGAAATATTATTCCTAATAATGAAATATATATTTTATTTCCACTCTGGGATTTCTTTGTATTCTTAGTAACTATTCACATTTTCATATTTAAAAATAAACATATCTTTGGAGACTAAAAAGTAATCTTTGTTGATGAGAAATTGTATAGGAATTTGCATTTTTAAAAAATTTTCTTGACCATTATTTAAAAAAAATTCTCACAGTAAATCTTAGCTTTTTTACTGTATTCATTCAGGCATATATATGATTATCTCTTATATCAAATGTACCTATCTTACTGTTACAATTCAAGAAGGGATGGAATGTAGAAGCTTCTTGGGCCTTATAAATTTGTAAACTAGAGGACAAATTACATATTAATAGGTAAAAACATGTACAGTGTTTACTTTTGAGTTGAGAAGTACAATTCCTACAGTAAAACTTGGTTATAACAAAGTCACTGGGACCTATGAAATTACTTCGTTATATCTGTAATTTGTTATAACTGTATAAGAAATCAATTAAATTTGTTAAGCTGGGTATCCAAATTGACTTCACTATATCCGTAAATTTGCAATATTCGTGTTCGTACTAAACGAGTTTTGCTGTATTGCCCAGTCTTTATTGTAATTTATTGAACAGATTTACATGCAAGTCCATACAATTTACAAATTACTCATTCTAAAGACTCTGATCTCCTTCTTTTGCCTGCAAAAATGACAATTCATCTTAATTTTAAACTGTAGAGTTACCATTTATTTAACCAGTGAACTTTATATTTTTGTGTGTGCATGTTTAGGTTGAGGCAGTCTCACTGTTTTTGGTTTTTATTAAAATAGAAATAAAAAGTGGAGGAAATGTGCAATTTAATCCACATGATTTATTCCGGCAAAAGTCTATTTTAAAGAAAAAGAAAATGTCTCTCTGATACATGTTCTTAAACTTGGTTTAGAAAAAATTTTGATACATGTAGTACCAATTATTTTCATGCAAACTAGAGTATGTAAATGCCTTGAAGAAATCTAACTCTAAGATACCAAAGATAACGGAACATATTTTGGCTTTGAAATTATTGAGAGTCTATAATATCCTTATCAAGGAAATAAAAATTACTGAAATAAAACAAATACCAAAGTTTACACAAATGACAGTCATTTCAGGGAAAATCAGAACTTTAAAATTTTTTCATCACTTTTTACCATTTTCATGTATATGCACATGATCAAATGCATCAATGCATCTTTTCTGATAACAAGCTGATACATTTGAAGACACTACAAGTTTATAGAAAATATCAAGTTTATTTTTAATTTTCTAATTGTGCTAAAAATTTTACTGTATATTATATACTGTTATTAAAAAAAAAAATATTTGAAAGTTTTCCCAAATAGATGGAACATCAAGCAGCTTTGAACCAGAATTTTTAGGTGTAATTAGAGCCACTTAATTGACTCAATGATTGTCAGTTATAAAAATCATATTGTGTATATTTCGAATACCTGTATCATGAATTAATTTTGCTTGATCACAAAAATATGTTGATGGATATATATTCTCTATATATCTCTCTTGCACAGCCACTGAGTAAATGTCAAAAGAAAAACGTCTGTGACTTGCCAGGTTCAATCGCGCGCATTATTGTTTTCATTTAGACGATGTAATGCATGTCTACTTACAAAACACCAAAGAAACAAATAATAACCACAGTATGTCCAAAATATAAAACTTTGCCGACCATATAAGCTCTCGATATGCTTCAGACTGAAGTTCAGTAGCATGTGCATCCTACTTTCGTTTTAACAGGAAGAACTTCGTAAGGTTAAAGTCAAGTCAAGTTAACCAGAGTTTTTATGCTAAAATATCGACAATTATAAGTAATTTTATGTCTAGTAACACAAATTTATTATAATTATTGATATTTAACTATTTTTTGAATGTATTTCTTTATTTTCCTTTATATTAGAGCAAGATAGAAGACATTTAATGCATGCGCTTTTTTTCCCTGTTTCCAAAAATAGCAGACTGACTTTCATCGTAACAAACGCCAACACCTCACTTTAAACCATAATTTCACGAATAATTCGCATACTTTCACATCTTCATTACCTATTTTTCAATGTTTTGTAGTTGTATAATACATTTTGATAGATTCTGAATAATTCACAGCTCATTTATAGCGAGCGCAGCGAGCCTCGCGAAGCGACGCTCGTCACTGCGAGCTCTTAAAGCAACGCCTGTGCGAAGAGAAAATTCAGACTACTGCACATTCATTCGATAGAATTTTTTGATGCCGTGATTTCGACCCACAATGCATCACTTGTTTAAGCTACGTTAAAGCTACTCGTGAGAATAGTTGCAAAAGTACTAAAAAGTATATGCCCTGATTAAATGGATAAATAATGAAGATAAATAGCAAACAAAATGTCTTCATTTACTTTCAGCACTGTTCAGGGTTCTTTAGGGGAAATGTAACTTAAATACGACGTCATGTGACGTCAGAGTCTAGACGCATCAAATGTCACGTGGAGTTCGACGTACGAGCCCGATTTAAATTCTAACAAAATAAACATCTGCGCTCGCCACAACGGTCGCATCGTCAACATATTACGTTTTATACGACGTTTTATGTGACGAAGCGCTAATTCCAGACTCAGACCCAACATATTGGGTTCCCGCACGCAAGCGTTTGTGACGTCAGACCCAATATGTTGGGTCCCGCACACAAAGGGTTAACGAAATCCGTTCCTCACTTATACTTACTTTGACTTATAGTACGCTTATAAGTACATTTCAAAATTTTTAAGTGACTTATAAATAGCTTATAAGTGGATTATAAAACACTTATAAGTTTCTATTAGTTTTTTCTGTAAGGGTAGTTGCAAAAAGATCCAAAATAGGGCATTAAGTCCACCCATTCTTTACATGTGTAGTTTAAATATATCTACAGTTTCACTTACGACAACATCGATCTGTAGATAAATGAAATGGGTTGATCCAAGTTTAAAATAAGATATAATATTTTAATTGAATACTATAATTCACTTTTTATGCACGCAAACTTTATTTTTCGCGCAATAAGGCAATACAGTGTGCTCGAAAAAAATCTATTTCTCGCGTAAAATAGTTTTCCTTAGGATTATACAGAGCATGCTTCATGTAAATGTTGTCTAGCTAATCAAAAGACGGTGATTATCTTGCAAAAATAAGGTGTCATGAAAATATATTTCTATGTAAAATTTTGATCAGCCATTGTGGCCTTGCCCTACCCTCAGGGGTAATGATTTGAAGATGCTGCCAAATGTGTTTCGTCTTTCCTGGTCCAGTGGTTCTGGAGAAGATTTAAAAAAAAATCCAAAATATTCCTATGAAAAACTCTGATCAGCCATTGTGGCCCCACCCAACCCCAGGGGGTCACAATTTCAACAAACTTGAATCTACACTACCTATGGATGCTTCTACATGAATTTCATTTTTCCTGGCCCAATGGTGCTTGAAAAGAAGATGCCATTAATTTTTCATTAATTTATAGTCCTTTACTTGTAAAATCTTGATTCCCCTTCACCCAGGAATACTTTGTGGCAAGTTTGGTTGACATTAGCTATGTGGTTCTTGAGAAGAAGATGAAAATGTGAGAAGTTTACGACAATGACAACGATGATAGACAAGGGACAAATTTTAATCAAATAAAGCTCACATGAGCCTTTGGATCAGGTGGGCTAAAATTGGCAGTTGGAACTTGAAACTTCACAAAAGCAATAATTAGAATAATGATCTTCTATCTCAGTGTAAATTTAAAAAGTAGGTCACCGTGACCTACTTTTGAGTTAACATGATGTGAAGTCTTAAGATGCATCAACTTACAAGATTTGATGATCCTAGCCCGTATAGTAAGCAAAATATTAACATTTTTATCAGTTGTAAATTTAGGTCAACTTCAAAGTGACCTTGAGGCCACACCCTTTGCCCCAGGGTCATGCCTTGAACAATTTTTATTCTTCAACATATCCTGATCCTTGTATGTAAGTTTGGTGAAAATCTGCCTGGCGGTTCTGGAGAAGAAGATTTTTTAGCAACTAGTACTTTTGGTTTTGTTTTCCTGATTATCTCCCCTTGTTTTAGGGTCCCAACCCTTATTTTAGTATAAATGGTAGCCCTCTGGGCCAAGGATACCCTGTGGCAAATTTGGTACTGAGTGGCCAAAGGGTTCTTGAGTTATGGCCCATATTCTAAAAAGTTAACGCACACCGCACACCGCAGGACGCACACCGCACAAATGGCCATAGCATTAGCTCTTTGAGCCTTTGGCTCAGAAGAGCTAACAAGTACTAAAATCAGACTAAAACTGTATTTGGAATTGCACATTTTTGATACTTCACAGAAATTTCTATTTAAGTAACCAATGCTGTTCCGTTCATCGTAATCTAAAACCGATAAAGAAAATCATGTATCTTAGTGTAGTCTACTTGTGTGCCAAATTATACTGAAATCAGACCAAAACTGTAAGAGGATTAGCATTTTAAAAGTATTTCAAAGAAATTTCTATTTTTAGTAACCTTGGCAACACCGTTCATCGAAATCAAAAACTGATATATAGAATTACGTTATTTGTGTGGTTTACTTGTGTGCCAAGTTATATTGAAATCAGACCAAAACTGTAGGAGTAGCATTTTGAAAAATTGTTTACAGACGGACAGACGGGTGGCCGACGGACTCATTACTATCGCATAAGCTCTTCTGGTCTCTGACCAGTAGAGCAAAAACTTACTGTCTTTTAGGTAAATATAATTGTACGCAATGCTTCAGTTGAAATAAGGTCAATTTGACTACTAAAATTCAAGAAACCAGGTAGCAAAAATATATACATGTATAACCTACACCTTTTGATCAATGAACCAACTTTATCTCTAGCAGAAATAATCAAAATTGCATTTCTGTAAACTTTCTGTAAGCTTTGTTCATTTGTTTTGCAGAATATATAATTATTACATTGCACACCTGTACTTCATGTTTGCTTTCAGACCTCAATACCGCTTCTTTAATTTTTTTAACATCCGCCATGATTTTCTTCATCATTTCAAGTTGACTTTCCATTTTAACCTTTTCTATAATATCATCTTCATCTTCCTCTTTCAGTGTCAGTTTTTGGATGTAATTAAGTTTATCCAAGTACTTCTTTCCAGTGAAGGTTTCAAGTCTTTTGCAGATATTTGACATCATTAACCAGGTGTCTTTAAATTCTGTCTGAGGGGTTGAAGCTGAGCTAACATTTGCTGTCAAACCATTCTGGATTGACCTTATTCTCTCGATATCATCACCCACGGTCACTTCTCCTGCTGCAGGTTCTTCTCCCCATTTTCCTTTTGTTGGTTTGGGAATCTTTTTACAAATGTTTCTGATCAATGTGTATGTTAATGAGATATCAAAATTCTTATACCCTAATAGTTGAGCATTTTGTAAAAGATGTTCTTGCTCGGGGCGTAATCTTTTATAAATTGATGATGCTTTCACCTTGTTGTAAATAACGGAAGGTGGAACCTCCATCTCTAGTATATCTCCGTACGCTTGATTTAACACATCGTTTGTTGCCATTCCTAGTTTGGCAAATCTGGTTCGGCCAGCCGCTATTCTCTGAAAAAAAAAACTCAGTTAATTATTTACAATGAATCAGTAACTTGTTGGATATACTTCTAAAGCCTCTATGCCAACTTATAACAAGTTATGTAAGGGATGATTTGAATTTGATATGTCACATTCCAGATACAGTTCAACTAAATACTGAGGTGGTTAGTTTTGATGTAACAAGCCTCTATACCAACATACAGCATACACTTGGACTAGAAGCAATCGCTTTTTGGATCGACAAATACCATAATCGAATAATGAAAGATTTTCCAAACACTTTAATGGCAACGAAATAAAAAAGTGTTAGAGAGTAAACATTTTTCTTTTCATGGAAATGAAGGCAACAGCAATGGGTAAGAAAGTTGCCCAACCTATGCTACATGTACCCTAGTTCTCAGGTTTTTAAAAGTAAAAATCATCAATGATTGTTTAATTTTCTGGAATAGATCAAATGAAGATTTACAAGAATTTCATACTATTCTTAACAATCTGCACCAGTCTATTCAATTTACGACGGAAAAGAGCGGATCAGAATTACCCTTTTTAGATATCCTTATAACTAAGAAGAGACTTAAAATCATAACACATTTATACTACAAAATACTGATTCCCACCAATACTTTTTTTAATTCCTGTCATCTTTCACATGTAAAACGTAACATACCCTTTAATATAGCAGGACATGTTTGTAATCAATGTCATAGATGATACAAGAAAAAATGGGATGAAACATAACCATGCATCATCTTCATGTTACTATAGTCCTGCTGGACACGTTATTACAGCTGACCTAAATATAATTAATAACAAGAAAACATTAATGTAACCATCAATTGTCGCCCGTGAAAATATGTTCAGTCTATGTTCTTAATGATAATGATTAGACTTGATTATTCATTTTGTAAACTTTTAAAAAATTTAAAGCAAGTACGGTGCCTTTGATTAAAAAAATAACTTCACATTAGATTTCCCAACTTAAAATCCGGAATAACATATAAGATCAATTTTAACATTGGCCGCAGCAAACACGATTCAAAAGATGTTGCTAAATCGAAACATTGTTGCGTTATAAAAATATATGTAAGTTTCATGAATCACGTTCATTACTGCCAAATTTTAAAGTGAAGTTTGTGATCAGAGATATAAAATCTGCAATTTTTTAAGAATATTTTGATACATGGTATGGTTTTGAAATTTACCGGTACGTAGCATTTGTGTGACGTTTTGGCGCCATTTTACATTCGTGATCAGATAGAACTGATCGTGTAAAATATATCAGCACTTGATTTCTGATATCATTGTTTATTTTTGACGAATTTACTAGGCCATATTTTGTTCTTATTACATAGCCCCTCAGTATTGCTGTCTTCAGTTCTGAATTGATTACTTTCACCATTTCATGCTGACTTACCATTTTAGTCATTTCTATCACATCATCTTCAGTTTCAGTTTCCCCTCTGAACGTCAGTTTATGAATAAGATTAAGCTGATCCAGGTACTTCTTCCCAGTGAAAGTTTCCAATCTTTTGCAGATATTTGACATCATTAACCAGGTGTCATCGAATTCTGTCTGAGAGGTGGAGGCTGAACTCACATTTGCGGCTAAACAGTTCCGGATGTACCTAATTCTCTCGACATCATCACCCACGGTCACTTCTCCTGCTGCAGGTTCTTCTCCCCATTTTCCTTTTGTTGGTTTAGGGATCTTTTTACAAATGTTTCTGATCAATGTGTATGTTAATGAGATGTCAAAATTCTTATATCCCGAATGCTTAGCATCTAGCAAGAGTTGTTCTTGTTCAGGGCGTAATTTTTTGTAAGAATGTGGTGATGCTCTAACTTTCTTCTCAATTTCGGAAGGTGGAACCTCGGTCTCCAGTATATCTCTGTATGCCTGATTTAACACATCGTTTGTTGCCATTCCAAGTTTTGCAAATCTAGATCGGCCCCCCCGGTCTTGTCCAGACGCCATTGGAGTGATCGAATCACTCGCCATTCTCTGAAGAAAAAAATTCATTCAATTAATATGAGGACAGATATGAAATTGCCAATAACAAAAACATATGTCATGAAACCCTAGTCCATAAAAGGGACTGAACTTGAAAAAGCCTTTTAAGGTTTGATAGCACCTTCCAAAAACCACTGTTTACTTCAAATTAGAACCACACCAAAAAGGAGAATCAGCAATAAAGAAGTAACAAGGTTGGATCCTGATTTTTAAAGGCTTAAACTTTTTTTTTGTCAAGAACATCCTTAGTTTCTATACACATAGCTTAATTAAAAATTAAATCAAAAAATGGAAACAATTGGCTTCTTTTGGCTCTACCATGCTCTACAGTACATTAAATATGACCTTTTTTCCCTGAAATTCTAATGTTTCCCTCCTAAATCTTTATCCAATTAAAGCATGGAACAAAAGAAATTATAAGTCTTTTTAAAATAAGACACTGTAGTGTATAATTTTGACTAATAAAAATTTTGCCAAAAACATTTGAGTGAAATTTAGTTACCTTGCCTTTATTGTAGTTAAATGGGGAATATGTCCCATATACTTGCAATGTAGCAAATCGGAGCGGATCCGCTCCGAAACGATTTTGAAGAATTTAAAACGATTTGCACTGGAACTCACTATCAAATTAATCAAATCAAACCTTTCCGTGGATGCATATGCCTTTTACCCCAAAAAATAATCAATAGAAGGACGAAATCCCAATTACTTTTCTCAATGTTTTTCTCTCGCTTCAAATATACCTGCCATATTTACATTCGGGACTCTCTAGAGTGTTGGTAGTAAATGTACAGTAAATGTACTAGTGCGAGTTATCGCCCGTGTTTCTTTCGCTACATAACGAATACACGGAATGAATTCTATCGTTAAACCAGGTCCATGGGACATTCATCATTTTAACGATAGAAAATTCTATCTAGAGGTTTTTAAATTAATACATATGAGGGGTGATCAAAAAGTTCGCAAACAACTTGAATAACTTCCATACAAGAAACAATATTTAGTTTTAATGTTGATTATATTTCAAATTAATCCTCCCCGATTTTAATGCACATCAACCACCGTTCTGCGCATGCGCGAATCACATGATATTGGCGGTCACTTGACCCCCTCCGTAGCGTTCTGTCACAAACGTTGAAAGATTTTTCTGAGTTTTAAATTTCTTTCCATGTGAGCTAATTTTTATGACAAGAACAGTTCATTTGTCAGAAATGGTCATATCTTGACAACAGAATGGGTGGATCATAATATCCTTTCCAAAAATAAGCATGGCGACCATTAAAACACAAATCTTCTGTCTCAGGAGAGACCTTTATTCAAGGTGGATAGAGAATTGGTGCATCCTTTTTATCATATCTAATATGTTTAAAATCTAAAGTAAACGATATCTTAGGTATTAAATACTTATATCATTGTTCAAATATTCAACTATTTTTCAAAGTGCTAATTGGGGGTCTTTGATTGCAAATTGCTTAATTAAAAATTCATATCTTTTCAAACTTGCTTTCACTGGGCAAGATGACAAGTATCATTTTTAAAGGAAACGTTTGGTCTAAAAAAACTTTTTGAAATTTCATTCATTGAATGGTCAATAATGAATTTTACCTGTTACTACCATTTGTTTTAACTTAATTATATAGTAATAAGACATCAAAGTTATGAGTAAACTGGCTGATGGAGGCTGCCATGTTGAGAGATAAAGTTATCGCGCTTGTTAAATATTTCCCACAATCCTCACTTTTATGACGTATTGCAGGCAATTCCGCTCTAAGTGTAAACACTATCATGGCATAATCAAGTTGTGAAAATGTGCCAATGAAGTGTGTGCATTTTAATTTTGGATATGAATATATTATAGTAAATATAATTTCACATTCCTATGCTTCTAGTGTTTCAGAATTTAGGAAAATAAAAGAAGGAATTAATAATAAAAAGCCATAAACTTGTTGGATTTAACCTTAATTAAAAACTTAGCTGCAAAGGTTTATTATTTTACAAAACTTTTTAAAGTTCTAATGTGTCCAAAAAGGATGTTAATTTAATTGCTATAAATTAACAATTGCTTAGATTAGCTTATATCTGAAAGAACTAATTTTATTTTTCTGCAGTCATAAACACATTGACTCTTAGCCATCTGGCATTTAATCTGTCTGCTCTACGTCAGCAGCGGCCATGATAAGGTTTTCCCCATGCTGCTCCGATTAAGCTATTAAAATCCAATTTAACTGCTGTTATCAGCAGCGCAGTCTGGTTAGATGTAGCTTTTCTTTTTATATGAGAGGTACAGTTTTATATATAAAAATTTTAATTCTGACCAAACGTTCCCTTTAACCATCAGCCTTCCTTC